AGAGGAGAGACAGAGAGGAAGATCTTCCATCCGATGATTCACTCCCCAAGTGAGCCGCAACGGGTCGATACTATGCCGATCCGAAGCCAGGAGCCTCTTCCAGGTCTCCCACGCGGGTGCAGGGTCCCAAAGCTTTGGGCCGTCCTCAACTGCCTTCCCAGGCCACAGGCAGGGAGCTGGAAGGGAAGCGGGGCTGCCGGGATTAGAACCGGCGCCCATATGGGATCCCGGGCGTGCAAGGCGAGGACTTAACCACTTGCGCCACTGCGCCGGGCCCGAAAAATATCTGATTTTTGTATTCAGTTATTCTTTTTTAAGATCCACCTATTTTTATTGCAAAGTCAGATATAAAGAGACAGGGGGAGTCACAGAGAGAAATATCCTCCATCTGATGATTCACTCCCCAAGTGACAGCAACGTCCGGTGCTGTGCCGATCCGAAGCCAGGAGCCAAAAACCTCCCCCAGGTCTCCCACGCGGGTGCAGGGTCCCAAGGCTTTGGGCCGTCTTTGACTGCTTTCCCAGGCCATAGGCAGGGAGCTGGATGGGAAGCAGGACCACTGGGACCAGAACCAGCGCCCAGTGGGATTCTGGAACGTACAAGGCGAGGACTCCAGCTGCTAGGCCACAGCGCCGGGCCCATATTCAATTATTTGTAAATAGCAATAAATGTTGCCTTTTAAAAAAATATATTTGTTTTATTTTTATTGTGAAGTCAGATATGCAGAACGAGGAGAGACAGAGAGGAAGGTCTTCCATCCTTTGATTCACTACCCAAGTGGCCACAATGGCCAGTGCTGCGCCGATCCGAAACCAGGAGCCAGGAACTTCCTCCAGCTCTCCCACACGGGTGCAGGGTCCCAAAGTCTAGGGCTGTCCTCGACTGCTTTCCCAGGCCACAAGCAGGGAGCTGGATGGGAAGTGGGGCCACCAGGTTTAGAACTGGCGCCCATATGGGATCCTAGCATGTGCAATGTGAGGACTTCACCCTATAGGCCATGGGCCGAGCCCAAATGTTGTCTTTTGCATTTAGAAAATGTGTATTTCTTTATTTTCAAAGAATTTTACTGGTAGAGGAAGAGGCCGATTTTTGTCGGCTGGGTCACTTTCTGAATAGTTATGATGCCTGTCGTAGGGCCAGGACAAAGGCAGGAGAGAGCAGCTTCATTCTGGTCTTCTGTGTTAGTGTGTGGGTTCAAAGACCTGGGCCATTCCTCTGCTGCTTTCCCAGGTGCCTTAGCAGGAACCTGGATCGTAAGTAGAGAAGCTGGGATTCAAACTAGAGCCTATCGCATGCTGGCATTGCCGGCAGGGCCTTAGCCCATTGCACAACACTGGCCTCCTTTCTGTTATAATTTAACACATTTATTTTTGTATATATGTATTTTTTCTTGCACTTGACTACAGAGTAGAAATTTTCATGGCCCAAACTCTGTTATGATTTAATGCTTCTGTTCACTGTATTCAGCACATACAAATTCCTCTTTTAGATACATGAACATGTACATAAATATACAGGACATTCTTGAAAAAGCTCATAGAAAATGGATTTAAAAGAATGCATGGGGCCTGGAGTAATGGCTCAGTGGCTAAATCCTTGTTTTGCATGTGCTTGGATTGCATATGGGTGCTGGCTTGTGTCCTGGCAGCCCCGCGTCCCATCCAGCTCCCTGCTTGTGGCCTGGGAAAGCAGTCGAAGACCACCCAAGGCCTTGGGTTCCTGTACCTGCATGGGAGACCCGGAAGACGCTCCTGGCTCCTGGCTTTGGATAGGTTCAGCTCCCTCCGGCCATGATGACTATATGGGGAGTAAATCTGTGACAGAGGATCTTTCTGTCTGCATCTCCTTCTCTGTAAAATCTGCTTTTGTAATAAAAATAAAATAAAATCTTAAAAAAAAAATAGTGCAGGAGCAGATCTTTAGCTTTGCAGTTACAGATGCCAGGTACAGGTTGAGTGCTCTGGGTCAACAGGCTAGCATGCTAATCCTCACCTTGCAAGTGCCGGCATCCCACATGGGTGCCAGTTTGTTTCCTGGCTGTTCCACTTCTCATTCAGGTCCCTGTTTATGGCCTGGGGAAGCAGTGTAGGATGGCCCAAGTCGTTGGGCTCTTGCGGTCACAAAGAAGCTCCTGGCTCCTGGCTTTGCATTGGCTCAACTCTATCCTTTGTAGTATTTGGAGAGTGAACCAACGGATGGAAGATCTTTTCCTCTCATCTCTGCTTCTTTCTGTAAATGTGCCTTTTGAATTAAATATGAATAAAATATTAAAAAGAAAAGATGCCGGTTAAGATACTCACATCCCATATTGGCCGGGTGAAGTACCTGCTAATGTAGACCCTGGGAGGCAGTGGTTGATAGTTGAAGTAACTGAGGTCCTGGATTGAATTCCCACCCCCAAGCTTGCTTCTTGCAATTGCAGGTATTTTGGGGGTGAACTAGAGCATGGGTGCATTCTTTCTACCTTCAGCTCCTTTTCTGTCTCAACTAACTAAATAAGAATGCATACTTTTCTTGAACTTTTTGAAATTTGTACATATCTGGAGATAATTCTAAAGACTTAAGTTTGACTTCTGTAGTTGAATACACATATTTCTAGGTGTGTTATGATTTATTAACAATATATTTAAAATTTTTATTGTCTTTTTTCAAACTTTTTTTTTTTTACTTGAAAGGCAGAGTTTCAAAGAGAATGAGAGACACACAGAGGCTGGGAAAGATGAAAGTGAGATCTTCCATCTACTGGCTCGTGCCCCCAAATGGCCACAATGGCCAGAGCTGAGCCAGTCTAAGCCAGGAGCTTCTAGGTCTCCCATGTGGGTACAGGAACCCAGACACTTGAGCCATCTTCTACTGCTTTCCCAGGCTGTTAACAGGGAGCTGGAGGAGAAGTGGAACAGGCAGGACTCAAACTGGCACCAATATGGAATATAAGTACTGCAAGTGGAAACTTAGCCTACTTTGCTATTACAAATCTTCTTAGAAAAGATTTATTTATGGGCCTGGTGCTGTGGCTCATTAGCCAGTTCTCCCCTTGCAAGTGCAGGCGTTTTAAGTGGGCCCCGGTTCATGTCCTGGCTGCTATACTTCCCATTTAGCTCCTGCTTGTGGCCTGGGAAAGCAATGCAGGATGGGCCAAAGCCTTGGGACCCTGTACCCATGTGGGAGACCCAAAGGAAGCTCCTGGCTTTGTATTGGCTCAGCCCAGTGGTTGTGGCCATTTAGAGAGTGAACCAGCAGGTGAAAGACCTTTCTCTCTGTATCTCCTCTCCATAAGGCTCCTTCTCTGTATAATCTGCCTTACCAATACAAATAAATTTATAAAAAGTTAGTTTGCTCATTGGAGAGGCAGAGTGACAAGAGTCCTTCCATCCTGTTCTCCCACAAGTGTTACAGGAGTGCAGGTCCTTGGGCTATTTTCTGCTGCCTTCCCAGTCACGTTAGTAGGAAGGGAGATCATAGGCAGAGCAGCCATGGGCCCAGCGCTCTACCATAGTGGCTAAGGTCCTCGCCTTGCATGCGTCGGGATCTCAAATGGGCACCAGTTCATGTCTTGGCTGCCCTGCTTCCCATCCAGCTCCCTGCTTGCGGGCTGGGAAAGCAATTGAGGACAGCCCAGATCCTTGGGAGCCTGTACCCATGTGGGAGACCTGAAAGATGCTCCTGGTTCCTGGCTTTGGAATGGTTCAGCTCCAGCTGTTGCACCCGCTTGGGGAATGAACTTTCTCTCTGTAAATCTGCCTTTCCAGTATTTTAAAAAAAAAAGGTGCTGTGGCTTTTCAGCCCTTTTTGGCTTTTACAGATGCTTCCCTTCTCTGTCCCACTCGTCCACAGCCTAATCTGTGCTCTTTTCAAGGCCTGACTTGGCATTGTTTTTTTCCTGTTTAATACAGGGATGAAATCTATCATTGATTCCTTTTAGGTTTCGCTTGAGAATTGCTCACTGGTGGGATTCTTTTTCACTCTTCAGTGTGTTTTTTCTGGAGCATTCTTTTTGTTTGAAACAGACAAGGTCTAAATTTATTCTCTGGATTTTTAAAAAATAGATTTCTCAGATTTTGTCCCATGTATTTAGAGGAATTCCATAAGAGTGTTCTTCATTTTTGTTTATCCTTGTGTCTGTTGCAGTTTTTGGTCTTTGTGTTGGGAAGTGTGAAATTTTTGCTTTTCTAATGATCCCCTCTAATTTTCCTGTAGAGTGAAGTTCACAGTTTTGTAGTGTAGCTTCAGACTTGGAATCAGCATCACTCTCCCTCAGGTCGGGAAGTGGCACTCCACTTCATGTCTTTTCCTCAGGCAGAAAACAGTTGTTTGGCAGCTGTGAACACTCTGTCAGCATTCTCAAACTGCTGATAATCCTGTCAAAATCTTTTGCAGTTAGCATAGTATTCATATGTCTTTTGTCATTGATCTCTTACAACAACTTTGGAATAGGTGGTGTAGATGGTCTTATGCCAGTATAATGAAAGAAGCAGTCCTGATAGTTTTTGGTGAAGATTTGCTGAACATTGAATAACTAGTAAGCAGTAGAGCTGGACTTAAACCTGCTAAGATTTTAAATGAGTGAGTCATGTGGGGCAACATTGTTCTCAATCAGAGGTACTTTTGCCCTCGTTGTTGGGGGTCGTTTTTGGTTGTCAGTATCGGGAAGGGGGAAGATGCCTGGCCGCTGTTGAGCACTCTGTAATGCACAGTTCAGTCCTTCACAGTGAAGAGTTATCCAGTCTAAAGTGTCAGAAGTGCTGAGGCTAATGGTCCTGTGCAGGGATTGCTGATGACACAGGACAAAGATTATGAAATTTTGTTTGCTAAGGCTTTTGTGCTAAGCAGCTTCTTCACACCTTTAACTGCTCCTAGATTCAGGCCTTACCAGCTTGACAGAGCATCCAAAAAAATGTGCAGCCTGAATCCAGAGAAGGTGAAGGTGAGTGAAGCAGTGCAGCCACTAAGATGAGAGGACTCTTGTTCAAAACCTTGTTTATTGCTCTTCTCTTCACTAGACTGCTTCCCAGGAGGAGTGCATTGGGTTTCAGTTGGGCAGCAGGATAAATCTCAGCTTCTAATGAAACTGCAGAATCTTTGCACGCGATTGGATCAGGGCGACAGTTTGTTCCAGAGACTTCCACTTAACATTGAAGAGGCTAAAGACCGTCTCCGCTTTCTGATGCTGCACAAACACCCAAGGTACTGATGGTCCAATTTAGTTGATGTGTGAAGCGTCAGCGAGATTTTGTGCTAGTACATTAAGAACATCATGTCCTTTTCCTGCTGTTGGGTAGGGGGACTGTGAAAGAGCTGTTGCCTTCCCATTCTTTCTTGTGTATTAAAAAAAATGCTCAGGGACCAGCTCCATGGGGTGGTAGGTTAAAGCCTCCACCTTTGGTACCAGCATCCCATATGGGCCCTGGTTCAAGTCCCAGCTGTTCCATTTACTACCGACTCCCTGGAAAAGCAAATGTTGGCTCAAGTTCTTGGGCCCCTGCACTCATGTGGGACACCCAAAAGCAGCTCGTGGCTCCTGGACTTCAGATCGTCCCAGCTTTGACTGTTGAGGCTGTTTGGGGAGTGAACCAGTGAATGGAAGATTTCTCTTTTTCTCTCCATGCCTCTCCTCTCTGTATCTCTGCCATTCAAATAAAAATAAATACATATTTTTATGCAGAGGGTTGTTGCTTGCCTTTTTTTAAAAATATTTATTTCAAAGCCATAGAGAGAGATAGCGATAGGCATATATACAGAAATAAGCCTCTCATTTGCTGGCTCACTTGTCACATGTGCTTCACAGCCAGGACTGGGCCATGCCAGGAGCCAGGAGCTTGATCCAGGATTCCGGGTGGGCATGTGAGCCTCCTTGTGCTGCCTTCCAGCTGTGCTAGCAGGAAACTGGAGTGGAGAACAGACTGGGGCTTGAGCCTAGGAGCTCCAGTATGGGTTCTGGATGTTCCATAAAGCAGCCCAGCTACTGTGCAAAATGCCTGTTGGTTTCTTTTCAAATCCTACCTACCACCATTCGTTTTATTTTTTAATCAGTTATTTTATTTGTGAGGCAGCCAGAGCTCCGCTGTGCTGGCGCGCTCCCATCTGGGGCCATAGTCAGGAACTGAGAGCTCAATCTATGTCTATAGTGTAGATGGAAAAACCCAGTTATTTAAGCCATCTCTGCTCCTTCCCAGAGTCTGCAATGGGAGGAAACGAGTTAGGATGGGATTCAGGACAGGCTGGGCTGGGCCACAGCACCAGCCAGTTTATAGTAGGATAGGGACTGGGGGTTGTTCCAGGTTGGACTGGGTTGCAGCACCCACCAGCATGAGCCAGAACTGTGGACAAGCCAGACTGGGCCGGGTTGCAGTACCCGCTGAAGAATGCCGAAGTGAGGCAGGCTATGCTGGACTTGGCCATAACACCGGCCAGCACGTGTAAGACCCTGGAGGGTGGGTGAGCCCAGCAGGGGAGCTTCAGTGGTTCTCGTGCTGGACCACAGCTCCTGCTGGTGAGCGTGAGAGCTGTGAGAGCTGTGACTTGGGACAGACCAGGCTAAGCAGAGCTATAAAACCCATTGGCCTGCATGTGAGCTTGGTTAGGGAGAAATCCAAGCTGGGCTAAGTGAATATATCCGCTGGTGTATGCATAGGCTGGAGGAAGTGCAGGCTGGTTGGGCTTTGCCACAGCATTGACTGGCAAATGCTGGGACTGAAGGCAAGTCCTGTCAGGTTAGACCATACTACACCTGGAGTTGGGAGTGGGCCTAGTAGGAAAACTGTGGAACCCCTCTGATGGGCTGCAGCTCCCACTAGTGAGCATGGGAAACGGGGTTTGGGACAGGCCTGGCTGGACAGGTGGTAACTACAGCCAGTGTATGTGTGAGCTGGATAGCAGGGTCGGTTGGGTTGAGCTAGGCTGCAGCACTCAGCGGTGGGAGCTGAATGGATTGTGGGTGGGATGGGCTGGAACAGTCTGCTACATACATTGGTATGTACAGAAGCTGAGGCTGGGTGCAGGCCTGGTGGGCATTACTGAGGGTTGCTCTGAGCACGCTGCAGTTCCTGCTGGTGTGCTTGAGGACTGAGTGTGTGGTGGGCAGGGTTAGGCAGTATCTATTGGTTTGCATAGGAGATGGGGGTGGGCGACTACAACCATCTGTGTGTGAAGGCTGATGTGGGTGATGGACTGAACTGGGCCCCGCGCTGGATGACACACACAGGAGTCTGATCTGGGGCCACCTCAGGTGAGGTTTCTTTGGGGACCTCCTAACTCCAGTCGTGGTGAAAATCCCAGGATCTATGTTCTGACCATGGAGTGCTGTGTCAGAACTGGGCCGCCTTGGCTGCTGAAGCCTTTGCTGTGGACAGCATGCCCAGATGCACATGGGGGCCATGGCAGTTCACTGAGGCCTGCAGAGGATGCCTAGTGTGAAGGCAGAGGATGGAGACAGAGCAAACTGGACAGCTCTCCTAGCCAAGTTTTGGCAGCAAGTTTCTAGGCAAGTGGAGACTCTAACGTGAACTATGTCAGCCAGTGGACCTTGGAAGGATTTCCTCAACCTTGGAGCAACAAAATCAACAGCGTCTCAGAACTGTCAGAACCATTTAAGTAGTACCTTGGAACATGTTCCACATCGGGACCCTAGGATGATACTGGGTGGTCATCCCTAGCACCGGGTCCTGATGTGGCTGGGCTGCTGGGAGCGGGCCTCTCCCCTTCTCGTTTCCTGCAGACGTGGGAAGAAAAAAGGAGATTGGAGGCGGTTGTCTCACCCTCTTTTCCCCGTCCCTTGATCCTTTCCACCCTGTTCGGCGGTCTGCATGGGCATGTGTCCTTCCCAGCTGTGTAAATATAAAAAAAAACAAATTTCTTATAAAAATTTTAATAGGCTTTTAATATGGGCTGTGAGAAGTCAAAAATCTACGTTTTTTTTTTTTTGCCCTTATTTGAGAAAGTATTGCATGAAAAAGGGAAAATTATGGAGTAGCTGTCTATTCTTCTTAAACTGTCCAGTAAGTAGATTTTGAAAGACACTGGGGGAAATTTTTTAGAAAAAGTGAAGTGTCATTTTTGGTTCATTTTGCTTGCTTTTTAACTAGGTCTCTGTTGATCTTGGATGATGTTTGGGATCCTTGGGTGTTAAAAGCCTTTGACAATCAATGTCAGATTCTTCTTACAACCAGAGATAAGAGTGTTACAGATTCAGTGATGGGTAAGGATCATTGATTTACATTTTAGCACCTTAATAACTTAATAAATAAAAAATTAATAACTTAGTCATTAAATTGATAAAAATATCATTTGATTATATGTAGACATGTGGCATATTATTATTATTATTTTTTTTACTATAACTAATGTGGTTTTGTTGCAGGTCCTAAATATGTAGTTGCTGTGGAGAATGGCCTAGGAACAGAAAAAGGACTTGAAATTTTATCCCTATTTGTTAATATGAAGAAAACAGATTTGCCAGAACAGGCTCATAGTATTATAAAAGAATGTAAAGGTATGGTTATTTTGTGATAAGAATATAAATTCCTTTTTTTTTTTAATGAAGCTAATGAACATGACAGTTTAGTACATGAACATCCAAAAAACTTTTCTAGCATGCTTAGTCTTCTAAATTGTCTGATATTTGAAGCGGATGCATTTATGATATTCATTTATTAAAGTAAAATTAATGTATATTCATAGTATATCAGAGATGGTGAGAAGGATAAGCTCAATATGCAGTTTCTGTTACCAAATAATTGAAAGTGTGTTGAGAGATTTCCAAATTTGTTCATTGGAATCTTATAAAAATGATATTCTAATTTAATAAGTAAAAACTAGGGCCTGGCATGTTAGCCTAGTGACTGGAGTCCTCGCCTTGCATGTGCCAACATCCTATGTGGGCACCTGTTCATATCCCGGCAGTCCCGCTCCCATCTAGCTATCTTCTTGTGGCCTGAGAGAGCAGCTGAGGACGGGCCAAAGCTTTGGGACTCTGAACCCACATGGGAGACCCAGAAGAAACTCTGGACTCCTGGCTTCAGATAGGCTCAGCTCCAGCCATTGCGGCCACTTAGGGAGCAAGTCAGCGATGGAAGTTCTTTCTCTGTCTTTCCTCCACTCTATGTATCCCACTTTCCAATAAAAATAAAAAATAAATCTTAAAGAAAAAATAAAAACTAGTGTTGTCTTAATTTGTATTTTTATTAGGAATTTTCATACTGTGCACATTTTCTTCTTAAAGATTTACTTATTTTTATTTGAAAGGCAGATTTAGACAGAGTGTGAGATCGTCCCATCTGCTGGTTCACTTTCCAAATGGCCACAATGGCCAGAGCTTGGCTGGTCTGAAGCTAGGGGCCGGGAGCTTCTTCTGGGTCTCCCACGTGGGTGCAGGGCCTCAAGGACTTGGGACATTTCCTGCTGCTTTTCCAGGCTGTTTGCAGGGAGCTGTAACACAAGTAGAGCAGATAGGACTTAAACTGGTGCTTATGTGGGATGCCAGCCCTCCATGTAGAGGCTTAGCTTGTTATGCAGTGGCTCCTGTCCCCTATGGTATCTTTTTTTTTTTTTAAAGATTTATCTGTTTTTTTTTTTTTTTTTATATATTACAAAGGCAGATATACAGAGAGGAGGAGATAGAGAGGAAGATCTTACATCTGATTATTCACTTCCCAAGTGAGCACAATGGCCGGTGCTGTGCCAATCTGAAGCCAGGAGCCAGGAGCTCTTCCAGGTCTCCCACACGAGTGCAGGGTCCCAAGGCTTTGGGCCGTCCTCGACTGCTTTCCCAGGCCACAAGCAGGGAGCTGGATGGGAAGTGGAGCTGCCGGGATTAGAACTGGCGCCCATATGGGATCCCGGCGCGTTGAAGGCGAGGACTTTAGCTGCTAGGCCACATGGTACATTTTCATTTGGGTCTAAGAAGGGTAGAGGAGGGTGTCAGCATGTAGCCCTCTCCATTGGCATGTCCCTCCTGTAGCCTCTCACCTCATGGGTGCAGGTGTCTGCCTCAAGGGAGTATCCCACAAGGTCCACACTGGTGATTCCATTCATCTCTGAGTCAGGGAGGGAGTTCGGGGGCAGCGACATGTCCTAATTTAGTGCACTCCTCTAATTTTTCATAGGACTGTTTCTTTGTTTCTTTTGTTTTTAAAGATTTTTAATTATTTTTATTGTAAAGTCCGATATACAGAGAGGAGGAGAGACAGAGAAGATCTCTGTCCACTGATTCACTCCCCAAGCAGCCACAGTGGCCAGAGCTGAGCAGATCTGAAGTCAGGAGCTTGGAGCTGCCTCTGGGCCTCCCAACGGGTTCACGGTCACAGGCTTTGGGCCATCCTCCATTGCTTTCCCAGGCCGTAAGCTGGGAGCTGGATTGGAAGCTGGACTGCCGGGATTAGAACTGGTGCCCATTGGGATCCTGGTGCATGCAAGGCGAGGCATTGTAACTGCTAGGCTACCGTGCCAGGCCTCATAGGGCTGTTTCTTAAGAAGGGCTGTTTCTTATGATTTTTTTTTTCATATTTTAAAATTTATTTCAGGGTAGGAATGAGAGCAGGGGTGTGGGGGGAAATTGGAAGGGACACATCTCATGCCATGGTGGCAGGATGGGGGCTTCCAGGGCAGGCGAAGGGACAAGATGGAGGGGGACAGGAAAAGGGATGGAGTCGGTAGGAGAGCGAAGAGGAGGAAGAAACTGATTAAGTTAGTGGTGATTTTGAAAATAAGACAGTATTAATAGTGTGACTTTTTTTTTTAGGTTCGCCTCTTGTAGTGTCTTTAATTGGTGCACTTTTACGTGATTTTCCCAACCGCTGGGAGTATTACCTCAGGCAGCTTCAGAATAAGCAATTTAAGAGAATAAGAAAATCTTCATCTTACGATTATGAAGCTCTGGATGAAGCCATGTCCATAAGTGTTGATGTGCTCAGAGAAGACATCAAGGATTATTACACAGATCTTTCCATCTTCCAGAAGGGTGTTAAGGTGCCTACAAAGGTAACAGATGGACCAGCAGTCCTCACGGGCGTTCATGGCATGTAACTTCTGAAATAGTGCTTATGACATGGTTGGGAGAATATTGGAAGGAGGGAGCCCGCGGACAGAGGCCGTGCGGTAAAGGCTGTGGTGGGTCAGTTGCGGTCACTCCTCGTCGAGGCTCTGTGTCTAATGTGTGAGTTACCTGTTGCTCAGCAATTTCAATGAGACTGAAAGGCATCTGACTTGTTTTTCCTCTCTTGAGGAATCATCGAGTTTCTTAAGAAGTAAAGGCATTCTTTTTTCAGTGCTTTAAGTTAGGGGTGAGTGTGTGTGCACACCTCATCTGCAGTCTTGGTCGTTGCACTTCTACAGCACAGTAAGTGCTTGATTGCTTTGCAGGTGTTATGTATTCTCTGGGACATGGAAACTGAAGAAGTGGAAGACATACTGCAGGAGTTTGTTAATAAATCTCTCTTATTTTGTGATCGGAATGGAAAGTCATATTGTTATTATTTACATGATTTGCAAGTAGACTTTCTTACAGAGAAAAATCGTGGCCAGCTTCAGGTACGTATGTCACTGTATATTTAAAAAATGTGTATTTTTTATTTTGGAATGATTTTAGACTTACAGAAAAGTTACAGAACAGTAGTGATTTCCGTGCATTAACTCTTCATCTAACTTCTAATGCTGAAGTGTTGTATGTATAACACAGTGATCAAAGCCAGAAAAATAGCATTGATGTAATACTATTAACTAATGTGCAGACTGAATATTTTGGTATAATACTTATGTATTTGAAAGGCAGAGTTATGAAGAGAGGGAGAGACAGAGAGATCTTCTATCTGCTAATATACTCCCGTAATGGCCACTAAACGGCTGCTGGGCTGATTCGAAGCCAGGAGCCAGAAGCTTCTGGCAAGTATCCCATATGTGTACAGAGCCCCCAGGCTTGGGATCATCTTCTGCTGCTTTCTTAGGCCAGTAGCAGAGAGGTGGGCTGGAAGTGGAGCAACTGGGAATTGAACTGGTGACTATATGAGATGCTGGGGTCAAAGGTGGTGGTGGCCTTATCTGGCTACGCCACAGCACTGGCCCCCGGCCTTAATACTTTTGAAGCATACTAGCTGGATGTTTTGCAGTGTCCTCTAGTTTGGTTTTGTCTTACATGGTCTTCTGAAAAGATTAATGTTTTACATGTTTTGGTAAGGATACCTAATATCAGGGAGCACTTGGGTTGATAGGTCTTATTTTGTATAATCTTTATTTTTTTCTTATTTTGTATAATCTTAATGTTGATGATTTACTTAAAGTGATACCTGTCAGGTTTATCCACTGTAAAGTTTCTATTTTTTCCTTTTTTAAAAAAGATTTATTTGTTTTTTGTTTAAAAGGCAGACTAAAGAGAGGAGAAAGATAAAGATCTTACATTTGCTGGTTAACTCCCTAAAAGGCTGCAACAGCCAAAGCCGAGCTGATCCTTTGCTGGGATCCAGGAGCCTCCTCCAGATCTCCCATGTGGGTGCGGGGTCCCAGGCTCTGGGCCGTCCTTGGCTATTTTCTCAGGCCACAAGCAGCAAGCTGGATGGGAAGTGGAGCAGTCAGAATACGAACTGGCACCTGTTAGGGGATGCTGGTGCCACAAGATGGAGAATTAGCATATTGAGCCGCAGTGTCAGTCCCTATTTTTCCTTTTCTAATTAGTGGGTATCTTGTGAGGAGTAGCTGGAGTTAAAGTGATGCTTGTTTGTGTTCTCTGAAATGTTTAATTTGGTTTTCAGGATCTACATAAGAAGATGGTCACTCAGTTCCAGAGGTGTCAGCAGCCGTGCACTCTGTCCCCGGATCAGGAGGACTGCATGTACTGGTACAACTTTCTGGCCTACCACATGGCCAGTGCCAATATGCATAAAGTAAGATAGTCTGTTTAAGTTTTTAGCTCATCCTAAATTTTATCTCCTCTTTTTCCATGTATGTTGCATATATTTCCTGGTGTTGTTTCTTTTTTTTTTTTGGTTTTAATTTATATTACTTTTTGCTACACTAAAGAGTTTTTGTTAATACTTTTATTTCATTTGAAAGGCAGAGTGACAAGGAGAAGGAGCAAGAGAGAGAGTTCTCGCTTCCCTTGGGTCATTCCCCACATGGCTGCATCAGCCAGTTCTGGGCCAGGCCGAAGCCAAGAGCTGGGAACGCCTTCTGGGTCTTCCATGTGGGTGTCATAGACCCAGCTGTGGGCTGTCTTCCGTTGTTTTCCCAGGCGCATTAGCCGGGAGCTGGATTGGAAGTAAAACATGTGAGACTTGAACCCCAGACTCAGATATGTGATGAGACTGGAAAAGTATCTTTTGGTAATTTAATTCACTGTGCTACAGTGTAAGCCCCTCAAGGCTAGTTTTTTTGTTTAAAGAGACTTATTTATTTATTTGGAGGTCAGAAAGGGAGGGACAGAAAGATCTTCCATCTGCTGGCTTATTTCCCAAATGGCCACAGCAGCTAGGATTGAGGACTAATTCCAGTTAAGGCCAGGAGCCAGAAGCTTCGTCCTGCTCCTTGACGTGGGTAACAGGGCCCAATGAGTTGGTCCATCTTCTGTTTTTCTTAAGCCATCAGCAGGGAGCTGGATCCCAAGCAGCTGGGACTTGAACTGCCACCTGTTTGGGTGCTAGCATTTCAGGCTGTGGCTTTACGTGCTATGCCATAATTCTAGCTGTATTTGAGTTTTTAGGTAGTTGAGTATGCAACACTTTTTTTTTTTTGCATTTTGATTCAGAGTCTTGTTTACAAAGATTTCCTTCACTTCAGTGTTATAAAAAAATACTTAGCTGTATTTTCTAGTTTCTCTTTGAGAGACCATGTTTTATGCATAAATCTTCAGTGCAACTGACAGTGATTTGGTTAAAGTCAGGCCTGTTGTATATTTCTGTGTATTATTCATGTGCTTGCTTTCTACATATCGGCCACGTTCTTTCAGTAGTGTTATTTTTTTCAGTAGTGTTATTATAATGATGTTGTACCTCAAATTCTTTGATTCTTTAACAGTGCTACTGATCTTTTTTTTTTTTTTAAGGAACTTTCTGCTTTAATGTTTTCTCTGAATTGGATCAAAGCAAAAACAGAACTTGTTGGCCCTGCTCATCTGATCCATGAATTTGTGGAATACAGGCATATATTGGATGAAAAGGTATAAAGTTGTATGAAACACTAATCCTTAATGGACACCTCATGTTGACACTTAATTCTTTTTTTTAAGATTTATTTATTTTCATTGCAAAGTCAGATATACAGAGAGGAGGAGAGACAGAGAGGAAGATCTTCTGTCTGATGATTCACTCCCCAAGTGACTGTAATGGCCACTTGCAGTGAGCCAACCCGAAGCCAGGAGCCGGGAGCTCTTCAGGGTCTCCCACGCGGGTGCAGGGTCCCAAGGCTTCGGGTCATCCTCAGCTGCTTTCCCAGGCCACAAGCAGGGAGCTGGATGGGAAGCGGGGCTGCCGGGATTAGAACCAGCGCCCATATGGGATCCCGGCACATTCAAGGCAAGGATTTTAGCCACTAGGCCACTGCGCCGGGCCCAACATTTAATTCTGCTTCATCTTAAGTTTTTCTAATTAATTTACTTCTTAGCCTATTGAGAATGTAGGTAGGATTGAGATTTGAAGGTTGGAAGAGAGATTTTTTTTAGTGATTTAAAAAACATTTTTTAAAACATTTATTTATTTTTATTACAAAGTCTGATATTCAGAAAGGAGGAGAGAGAGAAAGGAAGATCTTCTGTCCGATGATTCACTCCCCAAGTGAGCGCATCGGGCCAGTGCTGTGCCGATCCAGAGCCAGGAGCCAGGAGCCAGGAGCTTCCTCCAGGTCTCCCACACGGGTGCAGGGTCCCAAATCATTGGGCCATTCTCGACTGCTTTCCCAGACCACAGGCAAGGAGCTGGATGGGAAGTGGAGCTGCTGGGATTAGAACTGGTGCCCACATGGGATCCCGGGCACGTTCAAGGCGAGGATTGCAGCCGCTAGGTCATGCCACCGGGCCCTTAAAAAACATTCTGAGAAAAAGTATGTTCAATAACAATATTTTTGCCCCATCTTTAGAAGTCATAAGAGGATCTCTTCATATTTGTTGTGACTTTATGGATGACTAGTTTTAGTTCATGTTGACTGTTTTATTTAAGCCTTCAAAGTGCCAGGGTCACAGAAACAGAAAAATATCAGATCCTAGTTCTGGTTATGTTTCTAAAGAGTGTTCTGTTTACTCATAGAACTGTGCAGGCTGTGAAAACTTTCAGGAGTTTTTATCTTTAAATGGACACCTTCTTGGACGACAGCCATTTCCTAATATCGTACAACTGGGTCTCTGTGAACCGGAAAGTTCAGAAGTGTATCAGCAAGCCAAGCTGCAGGCCAAGCAGGAGGCCGAGGATGGGATGCTGTACCTGGAGTGGATGTGAGTAGTTAAGGAGAGAAAGCACAGGCAGCGGAGGGCGAACTATGTCAATATTTTTCAGGTCATGAGTAAGTACCCTCCAGGAAGATGTAACTTTTGCAGAGAGCCAGAACTTTTAATAAGCATTTGTATTTATTGAAAAGTTCTAGAGAAAAAAGTATAGGAGAAATGATTTTATTTTCAGAGTCCTAGTAGGCATTTTGAGAAGTCATCCTAAATATTAGTACCAAACTCTTAATTTCGTGTAATCTAGACTAACGGTGAGGAGCAAGGGCTTTGGGGCTGTAGACATACATTTAAATCTCAGTTCTGAAAATTAATGGCTTGGGGATTGGTGTTTGGGTTTTCTTGTTTGTTTGTTTAAAGATTTGATTAGTCTTGTTGGAAAGGTAGATTTACAGAGAGAAGTTGAGACAGACAGAAAGATCTTCATCTGCTGGTTCACTTCCCAAATGGCCACAACGGCCAACCTTAGCCAATCTAAAGCCAGTAGCCAGAACTTCTTCCAATTATGAAGTATAACAAGTGTTACGGAATGGGATAAACAGATATTATAGGCAACAGACAAATCTAATCAAGCTTGCATTAATTAGAGGCCCAGGAAGAGTAAAATCATTATTTCCCAAAAAAGTGCTAAAAATAAGGTGTTAAGTTGGCAACATGGCGCAATTAGCCAATCCTCTCCTTGCAAAACCAGTACCCCCTATAGGCGCTGGTTTTATCCCAGTTGTTCTACTTCCCATCCAGCTCCCTGCTTGTGGCCTGGGAAAGCAGTGCAGGAAGCCCCAAAGTTTGGGACCCTGTTCTCGTGTGGGAGATCCAGAAGAGGCTCCTGGTTCCTGGCTTCGAATTGGCTTAGCACTGGCCATTGAGGCCACTTGGGGAATGAACCAGCAGATGGAAGATTTTTCTATCTCTCCTTCTCTCTGTAAATCTGCCTTTTCAATATAAATAAATAAATAAATGCATGAATGAATAAGAAATTATTAAAGAATAGATAACTGTGGAAAAGTAAGAAAAGATAGTCTGATTTTTTTAATACCTATTTTTTGTTTTAATCTGTTACTGTGTTATTTTAAAACAAGAGAAATTTAAATCTTAACTAATTTTTAAAAAAATTTAGATACCACCTCCTTTATAGAGCCTTTCCTCAATTCCTCACACAGCCAAGTGAGTGCTCAATTTTTCAAATTTTATACCTATTTCTATTGTGCTTCATTTTATTGTATCTGCTAGAGTGAACTGTCCTACTAGATTGTGAGAGACTTGAGGAAAACTTCAGCATCGGCGCTTAGCACAGCAGAGACATTCGTGTTCCCGACGTTAGCTGAGCTCAGCTGAACCAGGAGTAACAGTATTACAGCCTGGCTTACTGGGAGCAAGGCCTGGATCCATACAAATTACACATATCACCCTGGCGTACACTTCAGAACCATATTATACATATGAGTGCCCAACCACTGACGTTATCCCAAGGTAGAAGAGAAGCATGGCGATTAGAAAGAACGTGGAAGCCAAAGTTATGTAGACCGAGGAGCTAAATTTCATTCAACTAGTCATGTGAATTCAAAGTACTAGTCTCCTTGTGCCTTAGCTTTCCTGTTTGTAAAGCAAGACAGTGAATACTTATCTTAAAAGGTTGATTTGAACATTAAAAGAAATAGTGTGATTATAGAGTACATAAAAGACGTTGGTAAGATGGTGGCTCATCCTTCCTTTTTTACTAATAATTGATAAGATTGCTTATCAATCAAAATTACTTAATCCAGTAAGTTTCCATTTCCATAAATGTGAAAGGAAAGTAATGATAGCTGTTGTAAACTGAACCTGATATGTAAGTTACGGTTACCATTCTTTGAAATAGTTAATCACATACAAGACGGAGCAAATGCTACGAGAACAAAGAAAATCTAAGCTAGATCTTGCCTAAAAAAAGCTTCACTTTACTAGATACAAAAAATAAGTAAATGTAAGTATAGCAGAAAGAACAGGAAAATTGCTAGCAACCTTAAAGTAAGAAAATATTCTTTCTTGAGCTATGAAATTCCCAAAAGTTCAGAAACTGATCTTCACAATAATGGGCATTTGAGCTCAGCATTGTGATACTGTCTCCAGTCCTGGCTGTCCAATTCTGTTCCGGCTTCCTGCTAGTACAGCTTGGAAAGCAGTGGAAGTGAACCCAAGCACAGGATAGTCTGGGCTCCTGCCACCCAGGTGGGAGACCCTCATGGAGTTCCAGGCTCCTGGTTTTAGCCTGGTCCAACCCTGGTTGTTGTAGCCATTTGGGGGAGTGAACCAGTGGATGTAAGATGTTTCTCCCCTTCTCCCTGTGTGCCTCTACCTTCCAAATAAATAAATCTTAAAAAAAAAAAAAGGCATATAGTATATGGCCAAAATATACTAGATATATAGCAAAGAAAAAGTAAGTAATTGATTTCTTTGAAAACTGAAACTCTTATTAAATTTAAGTTTTTGGCCATCTAAACCTTGTTACAAGAAATACAGAGCGAAGATGGGTTTCTAGTGTTAAAGCATTCTTTGGGGACTGGTGTCAGGGTATAGTAAGTTAAGTCTGAACCTGCAGTGCCAGCATCCCACATGGGCACCGGTTCTGAGTCCTGGCTGCTCTACTTCCAATCTGACTCACTGATGGTGACCTGGGAAAGCAGAAGAGAAAGGCCCAACTCTTTTTGGCCCCTACACCCATGTGGGAGACCAGGAAGAAACACCTGGGTCCTGATTTTCAACTGGCCAGGCTCCAGTATAGGGGCCATTTGGGGAGTGAACGAACAGATGAAAGGCCTATTTTCTCTCACTGTCTGTAACTTTGTCTTTCAAATAAAAACGTAAGTAAATTAAAACAAAACAAAAATACCACATTGCTTGAATGTGGATTCAGCAACCTAGAAAAAAAGAAAAAATTACAGCTGTGAATAACTTAACATTCCATGAGAGAGTTACAGGTTGGAATGCAATTGAAGAAACACAGAAAAAAGAAAAATAAAAATAACAGATGTAACGATTTACAAGTGAACAAGAACTAAATCTAGGACCATTTGATCAGGCCAAGAATTATTATTTCATTGTGAGGGGTAGGTATTGTGATGCAGTGTATTAGATAGCTTGAGATAGGACATCCCTTCTCAGAGTAACTGAGATTCAGTCCGTCTCCACTTCCAGGCCATCTTCTCATGTACCTAAGAGGCAGCGTATGATTGCTGAGTACCTGGTCCTGCCATCCACACAGTAGACGGGGGTGGAGATCCATGCTCCTTGCTTTGGCCCCAGCTGACAGATAGCTCTAGCTGGTGCAGATATTTTGGGGAGTGAAGCAGCAGGTGGAAAATTCCCCCTTCTTTCTGTTTCCCCTCCTTCTTCTTTCTAACCTGACTTTCAAATAAATAAATAAAACTTAAAAAAAAAATCTTAGTTGTGGGGGCCCATACAATGATTGTACAGGTGAATCCTCTGCCTGTGGTGCCAGTCTCCCATGTGGACACTGGCTCCTGTCCCAGCTGTTCCACTTCTGATCTAACTCCTGCTAATGGCCCAGGAAGGCAGCAGATGACCCGTGTCCTTGGGCCCCTGTGCCGACATAGGAGATCTGGAAGAAGCTCCTGTCTCGCACTGTGGTGGCCATTTGGGTAGTGAGCCAGCAGATTAAAGATCTCTGTCCCTCACTCTCTGTGTAATTCTTTCAAGTAAAATCTTTATAATATATATATATATATATTTTTGTTTTGTTTTGCAAAGTGAGATACACAGAGAGAGAGACAGAGAGGAAGATCTTCCATCTGATGATTCACTCCCCGAGTGGACATAGTGGCCGGAGCTGAGCCAATCCGAAGCCAGGAACTTCATTTGGGTCTCCAACACGGGTTCAGGATCCCAAGGCTTTGGGCCATCTCAACTGCTTTCCCAGGCCACAAGCAGGGAGCTGGATGGGAAGCAGGGCCACCAGGATTGGAACTGGTGCCCATATAGGATCCCGGTGTGTTCAAGGCGAAGACTTCAGCTGCTAGGGCACCGCATGGGTCCCACAAGTAAAATAAATCTCCAAAAAGAAATACTTGATTTCTCACTAACCATAACATGAATTTATTTATCTACAAATTGCTATTGAATACCAAGTATTTAATATTGGATCCTGACAAAATGCTAAAAGCTATTCTTTTAAAGATTTATTTATTTTTATTGTACTTTTATCTATTGTTTTACAATTTTACAATTTTTGATAATTTTTACATATTTGATTAGGAAGCAAAGGGTTAAAGGCTGGAGGAAAGTAGATAAGACCATTGTTTTCACATTCTCTTTTTTGTTTCCTGTATCTTGGGGGAAGGGGAAGAGATAAGGTAAGAACCTGCACCCAGCTTCCCAGCCACCCCAGGTCCCCTGTGTGGGACACACTCCGAGGGTCCTGCTCAAGTGGTTTTGCTAGTTCCACAGATCTATATTGCTACCAGCTTGCCACTCCAATCACGATAAAATCTCTCTAGACTCCACTGGCTGACATAGTCTACTTTAGAGTCTCCATTTGCCCAGAAATTCACTGCCAACTCTTTGCTGGGGCAGTTGATTGAATTGTTCTGTCCTCTGTACTCTGTTATGGTACCAGGTGTCCTCTTCAGGATCTAGAGTACTGCCATATCCTTCATGTGCACCTGGATATGCTGTGCACTGCTCCATCTAAGCCACTGAGGAAGTCCAACTCTGACACATGCATTCTACGGTCAGACTGTGGAACCTGCAATTTTCTCCATGGTTAGGGTTCTGAGTCCAGTGATGCATTTGGGGGATTCCCAAAGAAACTTCATCTGAGGTGATCTCAGACATGATTTCTTGTGTGTGCATGCCAGTACAGGGTCTGGCACAGTCTGTCGCCCAAATTGGCCTGTGCACACTGCAATTGCAGTGGTCCTGTCATTTGGTATCTCTCAGGATTAATTCCTCACCTACACATCCAGTGGCCTTATCCATGGATGTCCCTAGGCAGTGATTCTGTATCCTCAAGACCCCAGAGCTTGCTGCAGGGTGACCAACGGGCAAAGCCTGGTACCAGTTGGTGCTCTGGCTGCCCATAAGCCCAGGACTCTCCCCTTGCCTAGCAGCGGTGGCTGGGGAGCTAGGATCTCCAGCAGGAAGCCTGGCCCTGCGTGGGTTTTCTCAGCCGCAGCGACATGGCTGAGAGAGTAAGGTATCCATGCCAATGCTTAGACTTACCTGTGCTTTGCCTACCAAGATGGCAGCAGTGGTGGAAATTTTATTTATTAGAAAGGTAGATTCTCAGAGAAGAGAGATGGAGAAAGATCTTCTGATCGAGGTTCATTCCCCAGGTGGCTGCAGCAACAGGGATTGAGCCTGATCTGAAGCCAGGAGCCAGGAGCTTCCTCTGGGCCTCCTTACATGAGTGCAGGGTCCCAAGGCTTTGGGCCGTTCTCTGCTGCTTTCCCAGGTCACAAGCAGGGAGCTGGAAGGGAAGTGGAGGAGGCAATATACTAAGCAATGCCCATATGGGATCCGGGGGCATGCAAGGTGAGGACTCTAGCCACTAGCCTGCTCAATGCTATTCTTAACAGGAACAACTAACTAACTGAATACTTTCTACAAACTAGGTACTATTCAAAGACTACATACTATATACCTACATACTAACTCCTTTAATGCTGATAACAATGGCAATCTTTTTAAATTCTTAAAAAATTTAGTTTTATTTTTGATGTAGTTTACATAGTTGACAAAAATGTACATCAATGAAGATCACTCATTAGTGTGGGAAGGGTTGAGGCATGCGGGCAGGTGGGTGGAACAAATGGCTCCAATTTTCCTTTTCTTCCCGTTTATTCTGTAATAATGCTAGTCTTAGGCAAGACACGTTGAGTTACTTTCCTCCAAAAATACACAACTGTTAAAAGGGCTGAGGGGGGCTGGCAGTGTGTTAAGCTTCTGCCCGCAGTGGCAGCATCACATACTCTGCTTCGGCCAGCTCTCTACTCATGTGCCTTGGAAAAGCAGCAGAAGATGGCCCAGTTCTTGGGCTCTTGCACCCTGGGGGACACTGGGAAGAAGCTCCTGGCTTGGAACTCACCCAGCTGTGACATAGTGGTCATCTTAGGAGTGAACCAGCGAATGGAAGACCTTTCTCTCTGTCTTCCCTTCTCTCTTTATAAAATCTCCTTTTAGTAAAAATAAGTAAATCTTAAAAAAAAAAAATAGTGGGCTTACCATAAGATTTTATTTTATTTTTAAAGGTTTGTTTGTTTATTTTATTATTTTTTATTTTTTTTAGGCTTTCCTTCTTTCTTCCATTTTAAAAATTTTATTATTTATTATTATTTATTAAACGGGGGTATTAAGTGAGAAGGCCCACCCAATTTCCCACCCTCCCCAGGTCCCGGCTGTAGGGTATGTTCTGAGGTTCTTGCTCAAGTGGTTTTGATATTTCAACAGTTATGAATCACTGCCAATCTTGCCACTCCAAGCACTATGAGGCCCTTGAAGAATCCACTGATTGACATAGTCCATCATAGAGTCTCTGTTTGCCCCGTATTTCGCTGCCAAGATATAGCTGAGATGGTTGGTTGACGGTTTGTTTATTTTTTATTACAAAGTCAGATACACAGAGAGGAGGAGAAACAGAGAGGAAGATCCTCCGTCTGACGGTTCACTCCCCAAGTGAGCACAACGGCCAGTGCTGTGCCGATCCGAAGCCAGGAACCAGGAACTTCCTTCTAGGTCTCCCACACAGGTGCAGGGTCCCAAGGCTTTGGGCTGTCCTCAACTGCTTTTCCAGGCCACAAACAGGGAGCTGTATGGGAAGTGGAGCTGCTGGGATTAGAACCGGCGCCCATATGGGATCCCGGTGCATTCAAGGCGAGGACTTTAGCTGCGAGGCCACGCCACTGGGCCCACCATCAGATTTTAGATAGGAAACAAATCTCATTTTGCTGTGCTTTCTTTCATTTTAAGAAATGGACATTTTTCAGAAGATACTTATACATGATGTTTTATCCATGCCTCGTATTTCAGTGTATCAAATAAAAATAGAAAGTGACATGCATTTGATTAACAGATTTCTTTTAACTTAGTGACATTTGTGATGTATGACAGATTGCTTAATACAGAGTAGCATTTTTTGCAAAGTAATACTTTCATTAGGTTATGTTTTCTCTTTGGCTGATCTATGCTGTCATTTGCATACTAGTAATTTAAAGAATTTTATAGCGATTTTGGGTATATGTGTGTTACAAGATACACACATATTTGCTCTGATACTGAGAGAAGGTAGTTGCTTTTACTCTAGCTTACTGGATTTGTTATTTTTTTCCTTGTATTCAGAAACAAAAAAGCCATCAAGAATCTCTCGCGCCTAGTTGTCCGCCCGCACACTGATGCTGTTTACTGTGCTTGCTTTTCTGAGGATGGTCAGAAAATAGCTTCCTGTGGAGCTGACAAAACCTTACAGGTAAACTTACTCCTGAGGTAAATGGAAAGGGCCGTGTACCCAGTCCCACAGAGTAGGGTTTGTAGAGTCTGGCATTTGGTTCAGGGTTGAAATAGCCACATTCTACATTAATGGTCCTGGGTGGAAGTTCTGGCTCTGCTTCTGTCCGGCTTCCTGGTGATGAATACCCCGAGAGGCAGCAGGCCCTGGCTCCGGTCGTTGGGCTCCTGTCCTAGTCCAGCTTTTCGGGATTTGGGGAAGAATCAACAGATAGAAGATCTCTCTCTCTTTCCCTGTGTGTGTGCTGCCTTCAAAACAAGCAGTAAATGTTAGACGAGTATGTTTAACTCTAAAATTTAACAGTGTTACAAGTAGAAATCGCAGAGAAGTTCAAATCTCTTGAACGCTCTGAAATCTTTTTCCACAGATTTTAAAGATGTACTTAAATGCCTTTGTGATTATAAATTTCCAGGTGACAGAGAAGTGCTTCTACTCTGCCACTCAGCTATCATTCGTCAGCTAAGACTAATGAAGAATAAATTTTAAGACTTTATAATGCAAGAAATAGGGCTTTGATGAAGAAACAACAATTAAGTAAAATAACTATATTATCACCGCTGCCACTATCTTGGTGTGAGCGGCCAATGGGAGTTTGACCTCAGGGCTTGGGTGGAAGGAGCTCCCAGCAGTGTGGGGGCTGCTGGGGTACCTGAGCCAGGTTGGACTCAATGCTTGGGACCCTGGCCCAGCCACTGCTGCCAAACGGTGAGCGAGTCCTGAGCTTCCTTGGACCAGAGAGTTTTCTCCCTTCACAATAAGAACAGTGTGAAGTGATCTCTCAGGAGCTCAAGTTGGTCCCTGGCCCTGCTCGCTGTCACCATCTTAGGCTTGGGGCAGCCAGAGCACCAACCAGTGCTGGCCTCCGCCTGCTGGCCACCCAGCGGCAAGCATGGGAGCTGGGGGGTGTGGAATTACTGCCTAGGGATATCCATGGATAAGACCACTGTGCATGTAGATGAGGAATGAAGCTTGAGGGACTTCCAACTACAGGGCCACTATACTTGCACGTAAGTGAGGGAACTGACACCTGGTGGTTTGGAGTGGAGAGACCAGAAAATCTGTATGGGTCAGGTTGATATACCAGCCCACATTGGAATCCTGAATAGGGCTTGTTAGCATGGAACATTGCTGTCTACCACATGCCAGTCCACATGAAAGCTAGTGCTAGATCCCAGCACCTGACTGAATGTGAGAACAGGGGACGGATCACATTAGGCAGGGCCTTGACACTAACTAGCACATGAGAGAACCAGTCCGGGGGTAGATTCTGTGGTGGATGTGTGGGCCCAACCCTGTGGAAATACAAGTCCCACTGGTTAGCTCGAGAGTTGGGGTGGGGATGGACTGAGCTAGGTGTGACCATGGAACCTGCCATCACTCATGGATACAGGGACTGATAACAGTCTGGGCAGACCCAGGCTGCAGCACCTGCATATGCATCCTAAAACAGAGTGTGGGATGGCCCATGCTGTAATATTCACTAGCTCATACAAAGGCCAAGATGTAGGGGTAGGCTATGCCAGGGAAGGACTTAACATCTGCTGGCATGCCTGAGATCTGGGTCTGGGAGTGGGTTGAGTGGGGGAGTGTGGGAAAATCCCCTTGTCAATCACAGCCCCCTCTGGTGAGCACATATTTCAGGTCTGGGATTCAGGCAAGCTGGGCAAGGTAGTTCCTCGGCACAAGTGTGAACTGGGTCTGGGGTGTGCTGGACTGGGCTAGACTCCAGCACTCACTGGTGCTCGTGAGAACCAGGGTAGTTGTAGGACAGGCTAGGCTAGGTCTTTGCCCCTGCTGAGCCAGGTGTGAGCTGTGTTTGGGTGTGGACCAGGCCTGGCTGGGCTGTATTACCCAACCATGAAAAATGGAAATGGTTGAAGACCAGTCAGGAAAGGCCACTGTTCCTGCTAGGACAGGAGGTGAACTAAGTAGGGCTGGCCCATGGACCCACCGACGGGCACGGTATCTGGCACTGGGAGAGGTTCTGATGGAGGAGCTTAGGGAGGAAGTGGGCCTGGTGGAGGTTATTGTGGGTCACTCGGACTAGGCTATAGCTCCCACTGGTTTGTGTGAGGGCTGAGTGTGTGGTGGATAGAATCGGGCTGGGCTGCAACACTCATTGATTTGTGTAGAAGACAAGGCTATAGGCAGACCTGAACCAGCAGTTGCAACTACCAGCATAGGCTTAAGCTGCTTTGTGTGACGGACTGTGCTGGACCCTGTATTGGCATGCACACACAAGAAATCAGGTCTGGGATCACCTCAGATGAAGTTTCTTTGAGAATTCCCTCAACTGAATCACTGGACTCAGAACCCCAACCATGGAGAGAATTGCGGGTGTCTCGTGTTTGGAGTGGCAAGATCAGCAGCAATTCAGAACTGTTGAGCAGGACCCTCAGAGTGTGCCCCACATCAGGAAACCTGGGGTGATGTCAGGTGGCTGTCCTCCATCCCAGGGTGCAGAGGCAATTTGGGAGGCTAGGTGTGACTTCACTGCTTGTCCCCTATCTTCCCCCAGATACAGGAAAAAAATAGAATGTGGAAAATTGTTATCTCATCTACCTTCCTATAGCCCTTGACCCTTATCGCCCTAATCAACTATCATCAACAATAAATATAATTAATGTTGAAAGCTATGTTGTCAAAGGCCTAGGCATAGATTTCCAAGTGTAAGAAAGAATTGGGTGACTTGACATCGTGGGTTAGCACATTAAGCCTTATGGTTTTGAGTCCAGCATTTCAACTGGGGAGATCTCCAAAGAAACTCTGTCTGAGGTGTTCCCAGACCAGATTCTTGTATGTACTAGCAAGTACAGGGCCCGGCACAGTCCATCACCCTGATCGGCGGTTGAGATCATTGGATTGGTTCTGTTTTCAGCCCCGACTTCCACTGGAACCAGTGGGTGTTGCAGTCCAGCCTGGTTCTGCCCAGCACATACTCGGCTCTCGCATAAACAAGTGGGAGCTGCAGCCTAGTTGGAGCGACCCGCACTAACCCCCACCAGACCAGCCCCCTACCCTGGTTTGCCAGTATGTGTAAGCAGTAGCCCAGTCTGTAACACCCCATTCCACCCAAGCCCCTGTCCTAGTTTTTAAAAAGTTCATGCAGTGGTAGATTTAGCAGAAAATGCACATTTTTTGATAATTTTTGGCAGCTTCCCTCAGTTTATAGAAGTTTTGCAAGTTCTGACAGAAATTTGGATTTTTGGATTAATTTTGTCAGTTTTGTTTTTTTTAAAGATTTATTTTTATTATTATTTATTGGAAAGGCGGATATACAGAGAGGAGAGACAGAGAGGAAGATCTTCCGTCCGATGATTCACTCCCCAAGTGAGCGCAACGGGCCGATACTATGCCGATCCGAAGCCAGGAGCCTCTTCCGGGTCTCCCACGCGGGTGCAGGTTCCCAAAGCTTTGGGCTGTCCTCGACTGCTTTCCCAGGCCACAGGCAGGGAGCTGGAAGGGAAGCGGGGCTGCCGGGATTAGAACCGGCGCCCATATGGGATCCCGGGCGTGCAAGGCGAGGACCTTTAACCGCTTGCGCCACCGCGCCGGGCCCAATTTTGTCAGTTTTGTTTGTGTTTTGCAAATAATAGTGATTGAGAACTTGTAAGGAAACATTTCTGTTGAATAATGAGCAATGGCCTAGTGGCTTTATTTAAAAAAAGGTAATCATTGCTGTTTGTGTAGGTATTCAAAGCTGAAACAGGAGAGAAACTTCTAGAAATCAAGGCTCATGAAGATGAAGTTCTTTGTTGTGCATTCTCTACAGATGGAAAATTTATAGCAACCTGTTCAGTGGACAGAAAAGTAAAGGTAGGAAAATATTTTCCTCTTGAGTTGTAGTTACCACACATTTCATGTTCTTTTCATGTAATGGAGTTTATGGTAACTAGGGTTAGTAAGATCTTGCCTGTTGGTTTGCTAACTTTATCCATTGTAAAGTAATACTGGAAGTTCTTTATTTTTAAACACCAGCAGAAGTGCCTAGATTGATCAGCCAGAGAAATTTACCAGGCCAAAAAAATAAATAAATAAAAAGTCCAAGTTAATGAATTTGTTTGTTCATTAATAGGTATGCAGATTAAATATCGTTTGAAAATGTGGTATTTGTTGTGGCCAGAACGTTGCATCATGATTCCTGATATAGCAAATTTGTGACATACAACCCAGATTAAAAAAAAAAAAAAACTTTCGTGGCAAAACAAGATGGCTGAGTACTTAGCTAAGTGGCTTAGTGGTGTGAAAAGTAATCAGAGGGCGGTTTGTATCTTTGTTAGTTATTCTTTCTTGTCTCTTTCTACTACATTTGACTTTTTACTGGAGTATATATACCAGTTAAAAAAGGAACTGAAAACTTGGAGTTATTCTGTCACTGATATATGGAGGGAAGACCTCATTTTATCCTGGTTTTAAGGTGCTAGGTTGGGTTGGTAGAAAATTATATTGAGTTTTCATTCATTCAAAGGGAAGCATACTATAGAACAATCCAGACTAGACTGAGACATTGGGAGAATCTGTTTCTTGATAGATTAGACTAGTTGGCTTTACAACTAATAATCTCTTTACTTTGCAATACCACTTGGAGTCATACTTGGTGTTGATTACTCTGGGTAGTTTCAAAGTCAGAATTACATGAAAAGAAGAAATAATACTGCATTCTGTTTCCTAAGAACTCAATGTAAGTAACATGGCAGAAATACTTGTTAAATAGCTTCAAAATACCTTCTGGGGGTTGGTGTTGTGTCCAGTGGGTTAAGCTGCCGTTTGCAATGGTGGCATCCCACATTGGATGCATGTCTCAGTCCTTGCTGTTCTCCTTGCAACCCAGCTTCCTTCTGATGTTCCTGGGAGGGAAATGGCAGGTGGCCCAAGTCCTGGCTCCTGGTTCCAACCTGGTGCAGAGCAGGCTGCTGAGGCCACTTGTGGAGTGAAATCACAGATGGAAAATCTTCCCCTGCCTGCTTTCTCTAGTTTTCAAATGCATATATGTATGTTTAAAAGACAAACTCTTTGGGTTCTGGGTATTCTAATAAATACTTCGATAAAGTCAAAAGGGAAATTATGGGAGAGGGGACATTAGTGCCTCTAAAAAATAATTCCAATGAATTGGTGAATGGAAGCTCTTTCTTTTCTTAACTCTGCCTTGAAAATCAAGCAATAAATCTTAAACAAAAAGATTAAGACAAGGTTGAAAGCTAGGTTTTTTTTTTCAGACTCAGAAGTCTCCTCTGCCGATGTTTTTTACTGAGCAATCTAGTTTTACTTATTTCTATGACACCTCGAAGTCTGCAGAGCACTTAGGTTTATTATCTCATTTGAAGCCTGCAATTGTGTAGGAGAGTTCACAGTATCCACCCTTACAGAGGTGGGGACTGAGGTGCAGGTGAGCTGTGGAGGGCAGAATCGGGTCTCGGACTTAGCCCTTTGATCTGTAGTCCGGTATGCCACCCTCTTTTACAGCATTTCTCTGCTGCTGATACGAGGATGTGGAAATCTGCCTTGGTAGATTGTTACACATGGCTTAGTTTCCAGTTACGTTATTGAAAAAATGTGTATACTTGGAGGTAATTTTTGTGTTAGTTTTAAAACATTGAGGCAAAACACTGCCTTATTCTAAAGAAGAGAGGAAACATTCCTTAGCATAGTGTCTGACTGGGAACACCTGCTCTGGCAGCGTGATAGCCCCTGTGAGGTGCCTCATGCCTGCCTTGGCCTTGTTTGTGTCTTGGAAAATAATGTATATTTGTAATTTGTGCTTTTTCTGTTCTCTTTAGATTTGGAATTCTGTGACTGGGGAACTGGTACGTACTTATGATGAGCACTCAGAGCAAGTCAACTGTTGCTGTTTCACCAACCACAGTCAGCACCTCCTCTTGGCCACTGGGTCAAACGACTTCTTCCTCAAAGTAGGTGTGGCTGTTGTGAAATAGGCTGATCAATTGAATGTTGCATCAGAACATTTCCTTTTATTCACCTTGTATTGTGTTTCCATGGTTTTCTTGGTTGCGGGGACTGAAACTTGCATATTAACTTAAACATAATGAAACAAAGCAAAAACCCATATGACCATCAAGCATGTTTGTGAAATATCTAGGGCTCTGCAGAAAAAAAAAATCTGAACACACTTGATTAAACTAAAATTATAGACTGATGTAATAATATACTAAAATTGTTCTGCAGCCGTTATTCTCTTTTACTCTGAAAAACTTTTCCTTATTTTAATAAGTCCACCTCTTAAAAATATAGGACTATTGTACTATGAGTATACTTTAAAAGTTCTTGGAAAATGGAATAAAAAGGTAAGCTTACAGGTCAGCTTTGTTGTGCAGGGGTTAAGCTGCTGCCTGCAGCACCCTGAAGAGTGCTGCTCTGAGTTCTGGCTGCTCTGCTTCCCAGCCAGTTTCCTACTGATGTGCCTGGAGAGAAGCCAGGGATGGTCCAAACATCTGCTGCCACGCATGTGAGAGAACTGGGTGGAGATCCAGGCTCCTGGCGTTGGCCTGGCGGTCCTGGCTCTTGTAGTATTTGAGAGTGGACCGAAATATAGAGGACTTCTTTCTCTCTTGGTCTCCCCCTTTCTCTGTCACTCTACCTTTCAAATAAATAAATAGATCTTTTTGAAAGACGTTTGTAGACTAAGCCTGCCTGCAGCACCAGCAACCCATGTGGTCACTGGTTCATGTCCTGGCTGCTCCACTGTAAATTTTTGATGAGTTTTTTTAATATCCCTCTCTTATTTAACCAACTTTTAATGTTCTTTTGTGACATTCTGTATGTTGGGGAAGTTTATATTTCTTCCTCTTTTTAAAGATTTATTTTTACTTGAAAGGCATAGTTACAAAAAAAAGGTGGGGGGGAGTGAGGAGAGAAAGAGAGATATCTTCCATCTGCTGGATATATCTGCAGATGGCTGCAGTGGTCAGAGCTGAGCCAATCTAAAGGCAGGCGCCAGGAGGCGACTCCTGGTTTCCCATGTGGGTGCAGAGGCCCGAGCACTCAAACCCTGCTCCCCTGCTTTCCCGAGCTGTTAGCAGGGAAGTGGAGCGGCGGGACACGAGCCAGTGCCCATCTGGGTTGTTGGTGCTGCCGGCAGAAGCTTAGTTGGCTATCGGTGCTACTGCCTATCCCGTCCTCCTAAATATGTTCAAAAGCTTCTGTCATGTGGGAGGGATTCATTGCTTACTGAAGTTTTAATGAAGAACAAATTTTAAGACTTACTCAGATTATACCAGCATTACCAGTAAAGACTGTTGTAGCGCACATCTTGTGATTCTGAATTGAGAAGTCAGTGAAAAATATGTCAGTCTGAAGCTGTCTCCTTGTAACTTGTCTTGTCTGGAGAACTGAGTATACCTAGGACTGGGAAAGCGGAACCAAGCCTGGACACAGGCATGGGGAGCAAGGTGTGGCTCAGTGACTATTCCTGAAGAACCCTGCCAAGCTTGGGGATTTATCATGGGGATTGCTTCTAGGCTCAGTGTGTTTCATCCGCACCCTCTCCTGCCCCGCCACAATATATCCAGAGACTATAATAAAGAACCATTGTAGTAGCTATTGTTTAGTTCCAATAATGTTTTGTCAGATTTAAAAAAAAAAAGATTTATTTATTTTTATTGCCAAGTCAGATATACAGAAAGGAGGAGAGGCAGAAAACAAGATCTTCCATCTGATGATTCACTCCTCAATGGCCGGTGCTGTGTTGATCCAAAGCCAGGATCCAGGAACCTCCTCCAAGTCTCCCACACAGTTGAAGGTCCCAAGGCTTTGGGCCGTCCTCGACTGCTTTCCCAGGCCACAAGCAGGGAGCTGGATGGGAAGTGGGGCTGCCGCGATTAGAATTGGCACCCATTTGGGATCCCGGTGGCACGTTCGAGGCAAGGACTTTAGCTGTTAGGCTGTGGCACTGGGCCTTTTGTCAATTTTATAACACACAACACTCCCTCACTTTCCTTTTTTTTTTTTTAATTTGTTTGTGTGCTTGTTTTTTTGTTTTTTTGTTTTTTTTTTTTTTTTTTTGATTAGAACATTTTATAATAAATCCTGGATATTGTGTCACCCAAAAGATTCCAGTGTGCATTTTGGGTTCTTTAAACCTGAGTGCCATGGCATTATTCTACTAAACATAGTGAAATAATTTTGTAATTACCTGGGCCATATGTATTTTCTCCTATCATCTTAAAACCTGTCTTTGTGTCATAGGTTTCTTAATCAAAATCCAGACAAATATATTTGGTTATTATATCTTCAAATTCCACTTTAACCTGTAAGAGCTTCCTTTTCTTTTTACCTCCTCCGTCTTATGCCATCGGTTTGTTAGAGAAATTGAGTCATTTATCTCATGGAATGTGTAATACCCAGGAGCTGATTGATTAATTTTTAGAGGCGTTGCTTAACTTACATTAGGTTTAGTCCCTTATAATTTATAAGTATATATATTTAGTCTCTTTTGGTATAGCAGTGAAGATGCTGCTTGGGATACCCGTATTGCATGTTGGTATGTTGGAGTTTGAGTCCCACCTCTGCTCAATTGTAGCTTCCTGCCGATGTACACTCTGGGACCCAGAAGGTCATGGCTCGAGTAATTGAGTCTTACCCACAGGGGGCTGGGCTGAATTCCTGCCTTAGGAATGAAGCTCCCTCTTTTTCTCTTTGCCTCTCAAATAAAGAAAATAAGCGTTTTGTAAATAATCGTAATTGTCTTGGCTGACACTTAGAGTATTATCTGAGAATCTAGGTGAGCCTTCGATGCATCCAGCTAATTGTTAGTCACAAATCCATCTTTGTGATGGACACCTTTGTGTCATGAATTGAACCACATCCTACAATCAAAACTTCAATGGGAGGGAAGGAAGAATTTTATGTTTTGTGACTTCTCCTGTTCAGTCCTAATTTTTTTGTTTTTCCTTTTATCTTTCTCAAGTAGCTCTGGGATTTGAATCAAAATGAATGCCGAAATACGATGTTTGGTCATACCAATTCAGTCACTCACTGCAGATTTTCCCCGGATGATAAACTGTTGTCTAGTTGTTCAGCTGATGGAACGTTAAAGGTATGCTTTTTGGACATCATTAAAAGTGGGTTGTAATTTTACAGAAAGTCTTATGATTTGGAAATTGGCTCTGCTTTTCACACTTCTCTAGAAAGCTCTTCCATTCAGCTTTCAGGAGCCTGTTTGATGTAATTATAATTACCTGTATTGAGTGTTTATAAATGGTTTGTAACATAATGCTTGATCCTCATGCAGTCGATTGAACACCTGCCCCACTTTTTAAATAAAATTTGAATTCCACTTCATTATTATTCTGTGCCCCTTCTGAATGTTGTTTCCTAATTCTTTCTCTAGGTTAGGGGAATTTTCCCTTATTATTTCATTAAATATATTTTTAAAACCAAGCTTCTCTTTCTGTACCTTCTGGGACTCCCATAATTCTTATATTTGGCCTTTTAATAGTGTCTTTCAATTCCTGAATATTTTTTTGGCCTGATCCAGCTTTTTGTTTGCTTCTCCCTTATGACAGGAAATATCTTTCAATTCTGAGATTCTTTCTTCTGCCTCCTTCATTCTATTTTGGGCACTCTGCATTGTACTTTTAATTTATTCCACTTTATTCTTAATTTCTGATATATAAGTTTTCATTTGATTCATTTCCTGTGTAACATATTCCTTAAATTCCTTGAACTCCTGCTTTATGTGTTTCTCGTTGATAAGAAGCTTTATAACAAGTGTTTTGAATTCTGTATCCCCCATTTTCTCCATGTCTTCCTCAGTTAACTCTCAGATTGGCAAAGGTTTTTACTCCTTTGCAGGGGAGTCTTCAGTAATATTCGTTGTGCCTTTATCTCTTCTTTTGCTCTGGGTCATTGTACTTCTGGTTAGCAAATTTTTCTCCTTGGGGCGGGTTTCTAAGCTGTGTCACCCATGGGTTTATAGTTCAATTTTACTTATTGTGGTTGTACACGGCTCTTTGTTTGCAGTCACTTGTGCCACTCCCTCCAGCAAGTTTCAGATTTGGGCTCTTATGTCTGACCTACACCATGGTCTGCCCAGATCCTCCACCTCCTGTGATCCAGCACTATTGTTGCACCATTGTGTGTACAGCATTTCTCCAAGTTTCAGTCTGAGCAGTTCCCAGGATGATAACACATGTGCAGTTCACTGTTGTCCCTGGAGTGTCAAAGCCTTTGTTACACTGTACAGAATGGCACCTTATGTGAAACTTGTGGAGTTCTTGATCTTCTGGCCCTTAGGTCTGGAGGCTATCTGGACCTGTTTTGGCTGGAACCTGAAGGATGCCACATAGTTGCAATTCATTGAGCCTGGAATGAGTTCGCAGCCTGGAATGAGTTTGCTGCTAGCTTCATGCATGTGCAGTGTTGTCCCATAGCCATTGCCTCCTTTCACAAGATTGCACTAGGTTTGGCTGTGGTAGGGTTGGGGTTGTGAAATCCACTATTCCCACACCATCTGGGATCTGCCACTCTGTCTCTACTCCTGGTCAAATCAAACAGACCAGCAGGACGGGCAGTTCTTTGTCTGGGTTCTCCTCCTGAGCTCCAGGTGAACATCCCTTCCCACCTTGTTGCTGGTGGAGTTCTGGATGCCAGTGCAATTCAGATCACTGCTTGCAGACTGCTGCCGGGTTATCTGTTACTGCAACACCACACCATATTTTGCGCACTTTCCTGCGTCTGTCAGTCTCCAGGTGTGCCTCTGCTCTTGTTCTGTCCTCTATTTCCTGGAATGTGCCTTCTCTGCTTTACACTGGGTAATTTTTCCTCTGTTTCAAGGTGTCCCCACCCTATTCCACCATCTTGATTCTCCCTTGACTGCCATTTTCATCATCTCTTCTGTGTGCCAGGTTGTCCAGTTGCTTCACTTGAACCAGCGTATCTTCATGAGTGATGGAGACGTGTTAGCTCTAGCTCTCATATTCCCTGTATGTATCCCTAATTGCCTATTTGGTGTCACTTAAATAACAGGATACGTATAAGCATACTATATAACTGCGTTAATTATTTTATTCCTTATTATGAGCCAGGTTTTGTTGTCCTTTATGTTTCATGGGTGTTCTTAGAACAGGGTTGGATCAGGCTTTACATCATTGCAGTTGAGCCATTTAGTATTTTTTCATGCAAGTCTTTTTCCTATGGTTAATATAGTTTCATTTTTGCTGTGTGTAAGTCTTAAAGTTTTGTCAAATCAATTTCTGAAATTGGTCAGATTTGTTAAGTATTCTAGTTTGTTACATACCCTCCATTTTCTTCACTGGGAAGTAGCTTTTTGGGAGGGATCTCTTACTCTACTCTGCTGATCCTGTTCCTGCATTTACCTGCCATCCTGGGAATTCCCTTTGCTTTTCCCTGGAGTTGAAAATCTGCTTCCTGGATTTCTTGTCTTCTTGTATTTCTCTCTGGTTTGGCGGAGACTCTCCTTCAACTTCCTAAAGATGGATCCATGAAAGGTAAATGTTAGGTCTTCACCCTGATGTCATGTTTAATTGGTATTTTTGGACTGTTCAGAACTCCGGGTCTGAAGTAGTTTATTTTTCCCTTGGAGTTTTGGAGACTCCATTCCCTCCCGGCTCCGGTGTGCGCTTGGCAAGTTTGGAGCCGTTCTTCCCTCGTGATTCATATGTGATCTTTTTTTGTTCTCGAAATGCTTTAGGATCTTTTTCTATCCAAGAATTTTCTGTGTTGAAATTTTGCTATGATATGCTTTGCTGTGAGTCTGTGTTTATTTGTTGTTCTTGGTTAGCACTGGCATTTTTGAGTTTGGCAACTCATATTCTTCAGTTCTGATGTTTCCTTGAATTGTTCGATTTCTTCCTCTGTATTTTTTTTCTCTCTGCAATGTTTGTTTATGTTTTTTCTTTGTCCATTGTCCCATATTCTGGAAGATTTTTTAGTTTTATTTTCTAGAGTTTCCATTGTGTTTTTAATTTGTGTTATGATTTTTAAAAAGATTTGTTTTTATTGGTGAAGTGGATTTAGAGAGAGGAAAGACAGAGAGAAAGGTCTTCCAACCATTGGTTCACTCCCTAAATGGCTGCAATGGCCGCAGCTGAGCCGATTCAAAGCCAGGAGCCAGGAGCCCCTTCCAGGTCTCTCATGTAGTTATGGGGTCCCATGGCTTTGGGCTGTCCTCAACTCCTTTTCCAGGCCACAGGCAGAGAGCTGGATAGGAAGTGGAGTAGCCAGGTCTCAAGCTGGCAATACTTGCGGGTGGAGGATTAGCCAAGTGAGCCATTGTGCCAATCATGTGCTATCATAGTTTTAAGTACCCATTTTTAAGATGTTTTAAAACATTCTATTCTTGTTTTATATGTGTAGTGTCTTTTGTGTTTTTGTTGGTGTTACTAATAGGTTTTAAGTTCTGTTTCTTTATTATCATTATTATTTTCTGTTTTACAATTTTACAGGCATAGGGCTTCTTCCCTCTCTCATCCCCCCATCCAATCCTTTCTCCTTCTCTCCTATTGTCCACTGTGTTTCATTATTACTATTATTATTATTACTTTATGGTACAGTTCTATAGGCTCCTGGGATTTCCCTTATCTCCTCCCCAGATCACCGCCCCCCCCACCTGGTTCCTCTATATCATTACTAAACTATAGTTCTTCATACACAGTCATATGCCCATCATTGCGGGCATGGACAATATCAGAGAGTCAGTCCAGCATCCTGTTGTCAAGATATAGTAAACAGTTTCATTGTAAGTCCATCTTTGCCTGGAAGTAGAGATGCATACTACATTGTATCCTCACATCTGGATATGATAGTCTCCATTTCACAATTACTGTACATCCCCTTAAATGAAAAGTCACAATACAAAACCAATAATAGGAAGAAAAATAGAAATTTACAATGTCATGAAGTTAAATAACATGTTACTAGATATGACAGTCTCCATAGGGTTTTTTTAAATTTTAATATTCCTATATAGTTGCTGTTTTTCTGTTTTTTATTTTTTGTTTTTATATCTCAGTGTGTATTTTAGCTATCCAATCTTTAACTGTCTGCTCATATTTAGCCGCGCAGCCCTGGAAAGCTGATTGGTAGTTGTGAACTATTTATTATTTGCCTATTAGATTATCATGCTATCGTGTTTTGATAATGAACTTCAGATGTCACAGACATAATGTTTTGTGTCTTTACTTGATTTTGTGATCAAAAACCAATCTTCAGTCTGCTTTTGAAGGATATAAGCTGGCTGGAGAGTTCAGGGTGTGTGAGTAGAGACCTCAGCATTCAGAATATAGAATTTATTTCAGTTTGTCTGTTTTTCAGTAACCATATTGCAGGGTCTAGAACAATCCCTCTGTTTTTTGACTGGCAAGGACAGAGCCTGCTTGGATTGTAGGGAAAGCATTTTAGTGGACTTTAAAAAAATTTTTCTCTCAAATTAATTCCTCTTATGTCACAGGTCCTGGGTCCCAGTCCTTCCTGAGCCTTGGATGAGTTCTGTAGTGTGGGTTGGGAGGGCTGGTTGCGCCCAACAGCCTCAGAGTCGATTTTCAGAAGTCTGCTCCTCACTTTGTCCTCTCTAGCCTTTATGGTTTTGTTGCTATTACCTTTTCGTCCGTTCTGCTTCACTTTGTGAGTTATGCCCAGTAAAAAATATTCCTTTTGCTTACTAGTTTACCTGCATTTTACAAAGTTGTGGAGAGGAATGTATGTGTTCCATCTGTGTCCTTAACGTGAACTCTGTTTCTTTTAGTGACACTATTTCTGTACCTATCTGTAATTAACTTGGAAATAATTATCTTCTTACCTAAGATGTATTTACCCATCATTTACTGAGTGCTTACTGTGAGCTAGATGCTCTACTAGACATTTGGGTTTTGAGTAGTAAACAGAAAAATACACTTTCTGTCCTGAGCTGTTTAAAGATGGGAATGGAGGTAAATGAATAAATGGAATATGAACATGATAAAAAGTGATGGGAGGTGCTCTTAGAGCGAGAGGTGCTCTTTGGGGAAGTGTTCAGATTGCACTTTCTCCCTTTCAAGTTGGTGTAGAGTTCTGTAGCGTGACTACAGAACTAATCTTTAAAGAGAGACTGATCCTTAAGGAGTGAGGTGGCCACCTCTTAACACACAGTGTTTCCATGAGCCTGCAGCTTGAGCTCAGCCCTCACAGCTTGCTTTCAGCAGTCCCTCAGTGTTGTGCCTTTCTCTGACACAGCTGATGTATCTTGTACTAGAGTAATTTATTTTGTCTTATTCTCTTACTGGCCTGTAAACTCCTTGAGGGTAGTGCATATGTCTTTATCTTGATTCACTCATATAATCTGAAAGTGAGAAGCACAGTGTTTAAGAAATGTGTTAAAGATGATAAACCCTTGCTGTGTCCCTCCAAATCCATCTAAAACTTCATCAGACACAGAGAGAAACTTGGGAAGGTTTTCATTTGTCTGGTATAGGAGTTTGAGTTCTGTTTCCCTGCGCATGCCGAAGGCGCTTGTGCAGCCCAGAGCAGTAGCACTAGGGGACAGACGGTATTGTGCTGTGGGTGAGAACTGCCTGGGGTTTGTGGTTGTCTTCCCACAGTGCTTAGCAGTGCTGTTAAGCCATTATTGCTGGCTGGTTTGCACTAATAGTGATAGGTGTAAACAGAGATCTTGAAAAATGATGATTAGATAGCAGTATTTCAAGGTCAGAGAGTTCTAAATAAAGCCTTTGCTTTCTGAGAGGGTGACTATGAAGTTATTTTCCCCCCATGTAATTGTGTAATTATCTAAGCTTTTTGGAGAGTATCATGTTGATAAACATGTTTTTCTGGCTCTGATTTGGCAGTTGTCACTTTAGAGTACAAAGGGTACAGGGTGCACCAGGGCCCTGAATATAGTGCAGTGACTTACTCCGAACAAAATGCCGGTGTTAGGGTACATGATCTTTTGAAAGGTAGGATTTCATTGCTGCTTAAAGTCAAATGCAAAAGCGGAAGGTATAGTATAGGTAGATACTATTTATTCATTTTTTAAAAAAGCATTTATATTACTTACTTACTTGAAAGGCAGAGAGAAAAAGATCTAACAGCTGCCAGTTTACTTCCAAATGTCTGCCACAGTGGAGTCTGGGCCGGACTGCAGCCGCGTGCCTGGAACTCGGCGTGGGTCTCTTGAGGAGGTGGGAGGAACTACCCAGCTGCTTCACTGCCACCAGCTGCCTCCCGGGGTGGGCTTTGGTGGAAAGCTGGAATCACGGGTAAAAATGAGACTTGGACCTAGGCACTGTGGAGTTGGAAGTGGCATCACAGCAGCGTCTTGATTTGCTGTGAAACATCCTGTCCTTGGGTGGTTATGATTTAATAGGATTTTGTTAGTTTTCTTTTTGTTTTTTAAATCCAGGCAACGGTTGAATATGTTTTCTCATATATTTTGGCTGATGAAATTAAAGTTTATGGCATTTATGTTGTTTTCTTTGTTTCTCTGCCTCATTCTTTAATATTTGGGAAAGCCAACTGTTTTAGCACCTGCTTATTTTATCCAGGTCATACGCTGTTGTTTGATTTTGGTTTTGATCATATATACTTATCTAAACTTAAGAGAGACTTAACTATGTGCTTGTCCAGACAAACCAGATTTTGTGTGGGAGCTGTACTTTGGAAGCTGAGTAGGTCTGAGAGAAACGGTGTAATTTTTTTGTTTATTTTTTGGTGGGGACCTGGGAGCGGTTTCTGAACCAGCTCTGGGTCTGGGCATGGTAGCTGTTGTCACTTGGAGACACGAGGCTCGAGGTCCAGGGGAGTGAAGGCGAGAGTCCTCCGAGGCCTGTGTGTCCTGGAGCGTTCCTGTGGCGCTGCTGCAGTGAGGTTCAGGATCCAGTTACAGCCTTATCTCGCTGCGTTAAGCACGTGAGGAACCATGTTCCTTTCAGTGTGTCCTTATTTTCTATTTTCAGGAACTTCTTTATGTCTGTCTTTGCTCTGCCAGCTTATACCTTGGCTGGGACTGGGTCCTGTGCAGTGTTGCTGCTGTGTGTGGGGAAGCCGAGCAGCACATTTGCTGCCTGGCGCAGCAGAGGGCAGCAGTGGCAAGCTGTGAGTCTGTCCTTAGCTTGCTTCTGCACCGGTGCCTGTGTCAGTTCCTAATCCTTAGCTACCTGCACGCCATCCAAGGCTCTGCTAACATGTTACTGAATAAGGCAGCATGTCTTTAGTTTTGTCTAATAAGGTGATGAATGAAACTGGAGTACTGAAAAAGCTTAAACTTTCTGTTATTACTTTAATTTGCAGCTTTGGGATGTGAAATCAGCGAATGAGATGAAAAGCATTTATGTGAAGCAGTTTTTCCTAACCTCAGAGGATCCTCAAGACGATATGGAAGTAATAGTGAGATGTTGTGCGTGGTCTGCTGATGGTTCTAGAATAATGGTGGCAGCAAAAAATAAAATCTTTGTAAGTATTGGTATTTGCAAAAGTCAGATTTAGTTTGATTGGAAGAAAATCAAGATTTCTTTTACTATTGCAGTTGATACTGTTTAATGACATCCAGATGAAGCCGAGCCCTGTGCTCTTGGGCAAGCTCCCTCACCTCCTGGTTGGCACTTGTGCTCTGAAGGCCGTGAGTCTGTGGCTGTGTGAGCGCGAGTCTCTTTAGGCATGCGTGTCTGCGGCGCGTGGACACTGCTTCCCTCCGTTAGAGGTCGTGCAGTGAGCTCACACGGTCATGACACAGCCGTGCGTGTTGTTGAACCTGAGCTTCCTTGCAATTATTTAAAATATGGAATGCTTTCCACATCACTTCTTTTACATCTTTTTGCCATTTGAGATATACTCATTGAGGTAATTTCAAAGCCCTGTTTTTTTCTCTTAAAATTGTGTGATTTGTGGTGGTTTGTGTAGGAATACTCACCAGTAATTGAGCAGAGAGCTTTTTCTAAAATGAATGAGGAAGATGTGCATAAGGAAGGTAAATGACCAGAAGATAGCTTCTTATTTTTCCAGGTCTAATAATAGCTTGCATTTAAGGTATTGAGAATGTTCTGACACATATATATATATACTTTTGATATAAATATTCAAGAAATGCAGTAGGTTCCGACAGCCCCGTGGTGCTGGCAGGCAGATCAGCCGAAGAGCGTGCAGTTACTGCAGTTAGGAGGGCATCGGGTTTGTTTTATGATTGAGTAGCTTTTCTAATCATAATTTTAAAAAGATGTAGATAAGTTTATTACTATTTAAATGGCCTAGTTGAAATAAATAGTTCTGCAAGAACTCCATGCCAGGACCGTGTGCATAGTTCTTGCTGCTGCAGTAGCTAGACCTTCGGACTTCAGTTACTTAGGGTAACTGCTTTAGCAGAAAACTTCAGACGAGAAACCAGTCTCCTTTGATCTTCAGTTTTGAAAACAGAAAGGAAACCACCACATTTGTAAAATTCAGAGATTCAAAGAATTCTTTGATTGTGGTAAAATATATTCATGTAAATTTGGCACTTTAATTTTCAGTATGTAATTCAGTGACAGTCATTATATTTACATTGTTGTACAGTCATTACCATTGTATATTTCCCAAGTTTAAAACAATGTTTTATTTGGGTCGTGACAGGCTAAAGCCCTGCCTTGGCGTGCACATCCCTATACTGCTTTGGAGAGTGATGCAAGCTTTTTTTTTCTCTCTGTCTCACCATCCTCAATCTGTAACTCCATCTTTGAAATAAACAAGGCAGAAAGAGAGAGAGTAAATTCCGACCTGTTGATTCACTTTCCAAATGCCAGGAGCCAGGAAGTCATTGCAGTGATGGAACTCAGTTCCTTGAGCCGTGTCCACTGCTCCCAGGAGCTGCGCAGGCAGGAAGGCGCAGTTAGGAGCTGGAGCTGGAGAGCAAGCCTGGGCACTGTGACGTGGGCATCCTCACTGCTCGCCTCAACACCCTTGCCCCAAATCTTATGCATCACCTCAAATAGAAATTCTGTAACCCTTAAATAATAACTTCCTATGCGCTTCAGCCCGCCTCCCAGCCACTGGTGTGTGAAATGATATTCTATTGTGATACACTTGCGTTTTTTTCTAATGAGTTAGTGATGTTAAGCAAAATATCTGTTTTTTTTTTTTTAAGATTTATTTATTTTTATTGGGAAGGCAGATAGATATACAGAGAGGAGGAGAAACAGAAAGATCTTCTGTCTACAGGTTCACTTCCCAAGAGACTGCAACGGCTGGAGCTGAGCCAATCGGAAGCCAGGAGCCAGGAGCTCTTCAGGGTCTCCCACATGGGTACAGAGTCCCAAGGCTTTGGGCCATCCTTGACTGCTTTCCCAGGCCACAAACAGGGAGCTGGATGGGAAGCGGGGCTGCCAGGATTAGAATCAGTGCCTGTATGGGATCCTGGTGTATTCAAGGCGAGGACTTTAACCATTACGCTATCACGCCGAGCCCGCAAAATTTTTTTTAAATGGTTTTTTAAAGAAATCTTTCAGTGAGAGGTAGACAATTCATGTCGTATGAAATACCTTCTTGTTTTAAAAACTTATGCCCCACCTTTGCGTTTTACCATGCAAATGAAGCTGTCCAGGATGATCCTTGATCACTTGTAGATCCCAGTTTCTCTTGGTTTCTGTTTCCTCATTTACTTTCAACTCTTTCGCAGTGTTAGTTCGCGCTTGTTGTTAGGTCTGTTCTGTTTTGCTGCCTTGTAAATGAGACGGTTGACCATTCCACATTTGCCAAATTCCTTCTGCCACTTTCAGCCAGTGATTGTTCAAAACAAACCTTCCTGGGAAGTGTGTTAGGTTTGACTCGGTGTGTTTTGTCTTTGGCCTTCAGTGCTGTCCCGCTTCCTGTCTGGGCATGCTCTGCAGGGCTGTACACTCGTTAAATAATGTTTTGAGTCCTTTTGGAAGCCGTTTTTAAAAAATTCCTAAAAATGCTCTGGTCTTAAGTCAGTATACTGTAATAATATATTTTATCTAAGTACAAACTGTCTTATCATTTGGCAGAAATCTTGGGAGAATATATTCAGCATTTAAAGAGTTTTTAAAAATTGAAATGAAAAAGCTTAAATTATCCAAAAATAGGTGTTTTTTTTTTTGGTTTCAAAAAATAGTAAAGTGGAATAATTTGGTAGCTCTGCAGAGAAATAGAAATAATTGAGCTAATTTCATTCTAGCAAGTTTCTGTTCTGTGTATTATTTTGATCATTATTGATGAGTGCATTTTTTGAAGATTTATCTATTTTTTATTGGAAAATTTACAGAGATAAGATTACAGAGACAAGGAGAGACACAGAGAAAGATCTTCCATCCACTGGTTCACTCCCAAGTAGCTGCAGTGGTTGGAGCTGAGCCAATCCAACGCCAGAAGCCAGGAGCTTCTTCTGGGTCTCCCACGCAGGTGCAAGGTCCCTGTTGGGCCGTCCTCGACTGCTTTCCCAGGCTACAGCCAGGGAGCTGGATGAGAAGTAGAGCAGGTGGGCTAGAACTGGTGCCCGTATGGGATCCCGGCCCATGTGTAAGATAACAACTTTAACCACTAGGCTACCATACCAGGCCCTATTCTTTTTTTTTTACTAAACTAGCATTAGGTAGAATTGCTCGGTATGCTAATTTGGTTAGTTCGTTAATTTTTTTTTACAAAGGTAGTGTTATTTCTTTACTGCTTTGAGATATCTGTGATGAATTTCCTTTACGGAAAATTGTTTCAAGATGAGGAATATTTTAAAGATATATACATATTGATATAAATCTTATATATGCGTTATTAACTATGCAGATTATTAACAATTGTAGTATTTGTTTTAGGGCTTCCATTTGAAAAGGTAAGAGATTCTTTTAAAAGTATATTTAGATTCTGCTTGGGCATACCTTATCCTTTTAAGTGTTTCTACCTTCTGAGGCATCTCCGTTTTTGTTGGTAGTTTTTTGATGCTTGTACCAGTGACCTGCTGGCAGAGATCCAGACGGGCCGTCACAGCACCATCCAGTACTGCGACTTCTCCCTCCGCAACCATTTGGCAGTGGTGGCTCTCTCTCAGTACTGTGTGGAGGTGAGTACTTGCATCTGTTCTGTGAAGTTTCAATCTCTTTAAGTTTATTGCCTGTCTAAATTGTTAACACTGAATGTGCTGGCTTGACAAATTATGTTTTCTTAAACATAGCTTTAGGACCCACGTGACTTTAGGATATTGACCTATACAGCTTTATTACTTTAATATTAATTGAAGACTTGATTGATACGGATCTTTATCTGGGAAGTAGATCGACTTGGTTCCTAGGCTCCTCTTCAGAGGGGTCTGGACTGCTGTAAGCATCTCTTCTGTATCTTGGGACTGGTCTCAGCAGTCGTTAGTGGTCCTGCCCGTCTTGTCCCTGTCTTGGCAGGCGTTGGGCAAGAGTTGATTTATGCTAGCCCCTCCTCGTGGAGGTTCTGGGGAGCTGAGAGTGAGTGAAGGCGCCTTCACACGGAAGAACTTCCTGCTCAGCACGTCCCCGTTGCAAGCAGGTTGCAAGTCCTGTTCAAATCTGTGGGAAACAGCAGGGGTCCTGTTGGTCAGTGGGCTTGAACTGCAAGTTACAGATCAACTGGAAAATCTAGATACTGGATGTCTGGATATCCTCAAGATAGGTGTAATTGGAATTTTCCTGTTTATTTTTTTTTCAGGCATTTTAAAGAGAAAGAGTCTTTTTCAGCCAGTCTTGCCACTTTACAAAAACCCTGTGTCATGCTTTGAAAGCGGTGGGACATAACCTCTGCTTTCTCTTACTGTGGGTTGGATTTCAGAGGCTCCAGACGACAAAGAAATGATGGGAGAGAAATATGGAAAACAGAGTGATAAGAAAGGAAAGGATTTTTTTAAAAAAAAGATTTATTTATTTTTATCACAAAGTCAGATATACATGGAGAAGGAGAGACAGAGAGGAAGATCTTTCGTCCAATGACTCACTCCCCAAGTGGCTACAATGGTCGGAGCTGTGCCAATCCGAAGCTAGGAACCAGGAGCCAGGAACCAGGAGCTTCTTCTTGGTCTCCCACATGGGTGCAGGGTCCCAAGGCTTTGGGCTGTCCCCAGCTGCTTTCTCAGGGCACAAGCAGCGAGCTGGATGGGAAGCAGGGCCACTGTGATTACAACTGCACCAGTATGGGATCCCAGCGCATTGAAGGCAAGAACTTTAGCCACTAGGCAACTGCGCTGGAGGTCCCGGAAAGGATTTTCAAGGGATTTTTTTTTTTTTGGTTGTGGAACAGCATTTCTGGCCTTCAGCCCTGTTTCAGCTTGGATTCCAGAGATCAGGCAGAGGAAATCTCCTATAATTAGATTGTAAGCATCAGACTCGCTGAATGAAAACCACTGCACATGTGATGGAGGACTTGGTTGTCCGTGCCGGTTCTGAAATTGCAAAGTAGGTCTATAAGTAAAAATGTAATGAAAGGAGCTCATGCGCTTCATTAGACTGAAATGTATTAGAGTAATTTACACCAGAACCTAGGACAAAACACAGCCTAGTGCCAGGCATCAACAATTTGTAATAAACGTGAATAACAGAGGAAATGTGTACATGTTACAACTAGAGCATTCATTTATTGTAAGGCTCTGCAGTCATTTGAAATGAAGATTAGATGACAGTTTTTAGTAGAAAATAGTCTGTCTATAAAAACTGTGTATATTCATCAAGTTTTTAGGTTAACTTACAACGTTGATGTAACGTTTGCATGACTCGAAGTTAAGAGCTTTATAATAACAGTAAGTCTTCAGGGAAGACTTGCCTCTTCCTTCCCTGGTCTCCTTCCTCAATAGTAATCTTTTTTTTTTCTTTTTTACTTGGATTAACTTTCCATGTTTTTTTCTGCATATACAAAAATACTTCAAAAAGTTCGTGAAGAATAGAATTAAAAGATAAGTTTATATTTATGTGGAGTATCTTAAGATTCATGCATATGAGGAATCTTCAAAATGAGTACATTTAGAAAAACTATGCGTGTACTTTAAAAAGTTTTTAAGAATTTTTTCACCAGAATAACCTTAATCATTTTCTACAAACTTTTTGTAGTACTCTCATGTAAGCAGCTATCTATATATGTGTGCATACATCTCCATATTTGTAGTATCTATATATTCAAATACTTAGATTTCAGAAAGCATGACGGTGTGTATGCTCCTCTGCATTTTGTTTGTTTTCTGCGACAGTGCAGCTGAGCGATCGGGCCTGACTTAGGGTGTTTTTCTCATTGCATTGATGGCTGTATAATAATATCTTATGGGATTAATGTAGTTTTTTCTTAGTTGATTCCATATTGCTAGCCAGTGGATTGTCTCCAAGTAAAAATGCAATGGATAATCTTTGGTCTGAGAAATTTTGTATTTGTGATAGTGTATTTTGGAGTAAATTCATAGGAATAGATTAGGTGGTGTTGTTGCATTTGAAACGTGACTGCGATTTCCTGTGTGCTTTGTTCCGCAGTTGTGGAATACCGAGTCGTGCCTGAAGGTGGCTGACTGCAGAGGACATTTAAGTTGGGTTCATGGTGTAACCTTTTCACCTGATGGATCATCATTTTTGACATCTTCTGATGACCAGACCATCAGGGTAAGAAATACTGAGTTTTTGTTTTAAATATTTACTGCATACTGTGGTGAGTTTAAGTAACTTTCAAGTCAAGAAATTGATGGACAGTTTCGGGGAAAATAAAACTGGAAATTGCCAATTCATATTTAACCTGGGAAAGTATTGCTGATACAGCCTGATTCATTGAGCATATATTCGCTTAGTGTTGCCTTGGACCAGGAGCTGTAAGAAGTCCAAGGATTAAGCTGTATTTTGGTTAATTTAAACCTTTAGCATTGATTCCTCAGAGTACTGTTTTGAATCTTTCCTCTACCTTGAATCCCCATATTTCGTTACTTGCCAAATATCCATAGATTCTTCCTTTCTGTTTTCCATCACTTACTGCTGTTTTTCCATTCTTGCTGCTCCTGTTGAGGTCTTTAATACCTGTGACTGCTCTTAGTGGATTAGTCTCTGCCAGATGTCTTGTTTCTTGCTTTTCAACATGCTGCTTCTAAATTGTTTTCCCCGAAGTGCAATACATTCATCTCCATTTTTGTTGAAAAATGGTACCTCCATTATCTGTCAGAGCAAGTATACGTGTCCTTCTAAGTCTACAATTTATTCATTCATTTATTTTTAAAAAAGTTTTATTTTAGTTTTATTAAAAAGTCAGATATACAGAGAGGAGGAGAGACAGAGGGGAAGATCTTTTATCCGATGATTCACTCTCCAAGTGGCCGCAACAGCCAGTGCTGAGTTGATCCAAAGCCAGGATCCAGGAGCTTCTTTCGGGTCTCCCATGCGGGTGCAGGGTCCCAAGGTTTTGGGCCATACTCTACTGCTTTTCTAGGCCACAAGCAGGGAGCTGCATGGGAAGTGGAGCTGCCGGGATTAGAACCGGCACCCGTGTGGGATCCTGGTGTGTTCAAGGCGAGGACTTTAGCCACTAGGCCACGGCACTGGGCCCCTACAATTTATTTATTTTTAAGAGTTTGTTTTTGATTGGAAAGACATTTACAGAGAGAAAGAGAGAGAGAGAGGGTCTGCCATCTGGTGGTTCAGCACCCAAATGGCTGCAATGACTAAAGCTGAGCCGACCCAAAGGCTGCAGCCAGGAGCTGCCTGTTGACTTCCCACATGGAGACAAAAGCAGGACGGAAGCAGAGTTGGATCAGAAGTGGAACAGCCAAGACATGAGCTAACATTCACATGTCATGCTGGCACTGTGCGGTGGAGGATTAGCCTGCCTCCCTGGCACCACATGGAATGCCAGTGCTTGCAGGTGGAGTGCATTGACCTCTGCCATGCCATTTTGATCACACCACTTGTGGCACATCTTGAAGTTTGATATGACAGCACCTCTAGCTTTGCATTTGTTGTTTAACATTGCTTTAGATATTCGTTTTTATATGAATTTTAGTATTTTTTTTCTTGATCTGAGAACAGTGTGATTAGGTATTTTGACTGGGATCACATTGAATGTGTAAATTACTTTTGGTAATATGGGCATCTGAAATGATGTTAATTCTGTTTATTGGTGAGTGGGGTGTTGATGTTCCCGATTGTTACTGTTTTGGGTTTATGTCTCCCTTTAGATTCATTAGCAGTTGTTCTGAATAGCCAAGCACCCTCACATTGAGTCAATATACATTTACTATAGTCACATATTTTATTGGATTGATCCATTATATAATACCCTTCTTTGTCTCTCATAACAGTTTTTGTGTTAAGTCTGTGTTTGATGCTATGATGTTCAGATCTACTTATTTTTCCTTTCTTTTGACATGGAATACCTTTCCCATCCTTTCATTTTCCATCTGGTATATCTTTGTGAGGTATGTTTTCTTGTAGGCAAATAAATAGGTAGGTCTTAGTTTTTAGTCCATTCTGCTTTTTTGTGTCCATTTACATGCAGAGTATTACTGAAAGGTAATGGATTGGTTCTGCCATTGTTCGATGAATCTGTTGTTGCTTTGGATTTCCTTTGTACTTGGAGATTTTCTACATTCACGTACTTTCATTGTGTTTATTCTCTGTTTTTGTGGGTAGCACATCATTAAGCATTCTTTTTAGGGCTGGATGGAGGGTGGCAAACTCATTCAATTTCCATTTATTTTGAAGGGCCTTTATTTCACTTACATTTATAAATGAGAGCTTTGCTAGATAGAGTATTGTTTTGGACTTCTCTTTCTCGTAGGTCCTATGCTATGCCTCCCCCCTCCTCTTCAAATCTACAAAGTTTCTGATAAAAAAAACAGCCATTAGTTGATTAGGCATCCTCTGAAGGTAACCTGGCATTTCTCTCATGCATATTTTAGAATATTTTTCTTATATTTTACCATTGAAAGTTTGACTATAATTTGTAGTGGTGAAGATTCTTTTTTTTTGTTTGTGTCTATTAGATGTTATATGTGCATCCTGTACTTAAGTGCTCTTTTCTTTCTCTACATCTGGAAACTATTCTGCTATTATGTGCATGATTTATGTCACTAAATAGGCATTCTAATCCATTCTGTCTTTCCACTGCTTCAGGAACTCCTGAAAGTGAGCTGTCTCCACCTTGCTTGCACAGGCGTTCCCTAGTCAGAATCAGCATGCTGTTTTCTCTTATTTAGCCATTGTGGCATTCTTCCCCTAAGCCTACAGTTAAATTTCATCACTGTTTAGCCCATTCTGCATTTTTCCAATGATTCCTATCCAAACTGGGCTTGCCTGTGTGTTTTTGAAGACGCAGTAGTTCCCAGCCTCAGTACTGAAGTGATGGCTTATGTTTGGGATACTCTCCTTTTCTTTCTTGAGATGCATCCTATGATTCCACTTTGTTTTCCCATTCGAGGAATGTCTGTCTTCTTTAATACTTGATAATTTTGTGTCTATTCCCAATGATGCATATCAGTTCTGACTTGAGATAGAATGCAAATTTCATTTGCTCCTCAACCTCTAACACTGCATTGTTCCTCTGACTTGTTTATGTGTCTTAGGTTATAAGCTCTCTGAGGCCAGGCATCAAGGTTGGTCACTATAGTATTTGATGTAGTGTGTAGCTACAATTATAGTATTTGCTGTAAAGTAGATATTGTGAAAATACTTATGTGAGTATGCATTAATTTACTTATTATCACAACAATATTTTTTTGCCACTAAGGGAAAAGGCACAGAAAATTTAGATTTGGAAAGATTGGTGCTGTTTAGTGTGTTAATACCAAGGAGCTTGAGTGAATACACTACTTCCTTCAGTAAAAAAAACTTATTTGAAAATACCAAACTGTGTCACTAAGGGCACCTTAATAAAGTGTTTAATGGCCCACTTGATTTACCTTCTGGTGTAAGTACCTTAGTTTGGGTATAGATTGGAGTCACACACTAGTCCTTATCTTTAAGTAACAAAAGCCCAAAGTTAGGATTTTAAGTAGAGCTAGAATTCATACTGAACATCCTCCCCCCCATTTAAAAAAATTAAGCTTATTTATTTGGGAAGCAGAGAGGAAGAAACAGCAAAACTAAGAGACAGGGGCCAAATGTGAAGAGCATCCCAGTAAAACAACAGAAGACTAACTCAGTGAACAAGCCATTGCTAAATGACAGGACTAAATTACCACTTATTTATATTAATCCTGAATGTAAATGGCTTAAACACATCATTTGAATTTCATAGATTAGTAGCACTGGATTAAAAACACAAACCCCATCTATTTGTTTCCTACAGGAGATACATCTCACCAACAAGATGAGCAAAAACTGTATCTCATGGATTTTGATGTTTTTCTTTTTAGTTTCATTTCTTCAAAACACTTTTTTTTCTTTTTTAAATTTTATTATATATATATTTTAATTACATTGTATTATGTGACACAGTTCTATATAGGCACTGGGATTCCCCCCACCCCTCTCCCAACCTCCCCCCATGGTGGGCTCCTCCCCCCTATTGCACAACCACAGTTCAGGTTTAGTTGAGATTCCTTCATTGCAAGCATACACCAAGCATAGAGTCCAGCATATCATTGTCCGGTCAAGTTCAGCAGCTTCTTGTGGAGACCCTCCCCGGTCCGAAGGCAGAGCCAACAGAGTAGAATCACGGTCAATTAAAAGCTCCAACATAACATCAGCAACAATATATAACGTTAAGGGATAAATTGACAAAGTATTGAGCAACCAATTTGTCAGAATTGGATGTATGGTCTTAACAACTTCCTGTGACTATTTCAATGACATTTCAACAATTGAGGTGTGAAACAGTTTTAGGAAGGATGTGCAGAGAAATCTTCCATACCTTGGTGAGGAGTAGTACTTAATCCCCGTGTCCTACCTAGTAAGGTGTGTGTGAGTCCATGCTGACCAAGCCTTCCTTGTTGTTCTCTGTCTATCCATTCCAATTTGTGAGTGTGTGTGTGTGTGTGTGTGTGTGTGTGTGTGTGTTGGGGGGGGGGGGCCCTGGAGCGTCCCTCATGATCATTGCAGAGAGGATGGGGACCTGAAGTTGGAGCTAAGGAAGAACCAGAGATAGCTCCTCTCCCTAGTCCCGAAGGGAGTTTACTGTTCTTCTGTTTCTGAAGACCGCTCAGGTTTCCTGGTTGTTGTTCCGATGGCCTTGGATCCTATGATGAAGGATTCAGCTTCTTCCATCCCGTGTGGTAGGTCCAAGGCGGGGGTTGTCCTCTGAGTTCTCGGCCTCTGAAGGCATTCCAGTCCCCTGTGGTCTCTTTGGCAGTTGGGATGTGGTCCTTGGCACCCGTACTGATAGCCCTTGGTGGGGATCCGGGAGACTCCAGGTTTGGGATACAAGCCTCCTCCTGTCCATCTGCTCCACTCTGTGGTCCCCCACTGCTCTGTGCACATGACCTCCTGTTAATAGGTTGTCAGGGTCGCTCTTGATTCCCCCTATATATCTTTGTAGTTTTACTGTTGTCTAATGTCTTGAATCTATTGTCTACAAGTTACCTGTTATGTGCCTGAGAGGTTACACTACCCGGCTTCCTCACACGTTCACAGGAGATGGAAGGTTTCTTTGCTCTCCCGCCCAATTTCTGAGTAGTAAAAGGTTTTGAAAATGTATTTGGTTATACAATTTTAAAAACACATTGGTTGAGACCATATTAGGTAGAGGTCCATCAGGGGAGATTTACATCATTGGGAACCTTTAGGGTTGATTCAAGTACCCAAAGCCCTGAGGGTTCATCATGGAGCTTTCTAAGCAGCAATCATAGAAACCAAATCCCATAGTTCCCTGGCTGGGCGGCCAACTGGCGGACCCTACTGCCAAATGGCGCACTGGCCACCCAATACCGGCTCCGGATGCGCGCATGGTAGCGGCAGCGTGCGATCCAGGCTTGAGACACTACTTGTCCGGGGGCCTTCCAGCCCCCATGCGAGGGGCTCACTCTTTGGTTTTCTTTTTATACCTGCTTGTCGTTTCCTGTTTTGCACCCGTCGGGGCTTGGGTCTCGCCTTTCCACACAGGCAGTGGGAGATGAGCTGAGGCTCCTGGTGGCTCTAGGCGCTGAATCTCACCCATGGCTATGGCCAAAGCCAGGGCGGTTTTCAACCAGCGCCATCAAAATACTTTTTTTTTCATTAAATTCTTCAGTGACTCAGACCATACAGTAGCATCATTTTCTTCAAGAAGGTTCTTGATTTTCTTTTTCATTTCTTCAGTGACATATTAGTCATTCAATAGCATGTTATTTAACTTCATGGAGTTGTAAACTATTTTTTTCCTTCCTGTTGATTTTATTTTGTGGCTTTTCATTTAAGGGGCTGTATAGTAAGTAACTGTAATGGAGACTATCATGTCAAGTGGCATGTTGTTTAACTTCATGGCGTTGTAAATTTCTGCTTTTCTTCCTGTTATTGATTTTGTTGTGGCTTTTCACTTGGGGGGATTTCCAGTGACTGTGTAGTGGAGACTGACATGTCCAGATGTGAGGATGGGGTGCAGTGTGCTGCTCTACCTCCGCATCAAGGATGGACTGTTGGCTGTGTCTAGACAATGGGATGGTGGGCTCTCTGCCATTGTCCATGCCTACAACGGTGGCCTTATGACTGTCTATGAGGAACTATGTTGTTGTAATGATATGGGAGAACTCAGTGTGTAGGGGGTGAGGTTGGGAAGAGGATACGGAGAATCCTGGAGCCTGTTGAACTGTACGATAAAATCATAATAACAATAACAAAGAAATGAAAAAACAAATAAAAAAAAGTTTCAGGGGGAAAGAGAGGACCCTCAACTGCTGGTTCACTCTTTTTTTTTTTAAATATTTATTTATTTTTTATTGAAAAGGCAGATATACAGAGAAGGAGAGACAGACAGAAAGATATTCGTCCACTGTTTCACTCTCCAGATGGCTGGGGCTGGGCCTGTCCAAAGCCAGGAGCCAGGAGCTTCTTCCAGGCCTCCCACACGTGTGCAGAGTCTCAAGGCTTTGGGCCATCTTAGACTGCTTTCCCAGGCCACAAGCAGGGAGCTGGATGGGAAGCAGGGTTGCCAGGATTAGAATGTGTACTTTGCATCCTGGTGGATGCAAGGTGAGAATTTAGGCACTAGGCTACTCTGCTAGGCCCCCTGCTGGTTCACTCTTAAAAATGACTATACCAGTCAACTGAAGTTGAACCTACTTGCACCATCCGGGTTTCTAATGTGAAAGGCAGGAACCTAGTCGTTTGAACCATTATCTTTTTTTTTTTTTTTGAGTGATTTTTTTTAAAATTGCGAAGTCAGTTACACAGAGAGGAAGAGAGACAGAAAGGAAGATCTTCTGTCCGATGATTCATTCCCCAAGTGACTGCGGTGGGCTAGTGGCTAAAGTCCTCGCCTTGCATGCGCTAGGATCCCATGTGTGCGCCAGTTCTAATCCTGGCAGCCCTGCTTCCCATCAAGCTCCCAGCTTGTGGCCTGGGAAAGCAGTTGAGAACCATTACCTTTTGACTCCTAGAGTTTATGTTAGCAGGAAACTGGAGTCAGGAGCCGGAGCTGGGCCTTAACCCCGCAGACTGTAAAACAAGATATAGATGTCTTAAAGCGTTTTACTACCCTCTGAGATGAACACCCATCATTGAGCCTGTAACTTTTTTTTTAAGTTTTATTCATTTGAAAGAGTTAGAGAGAAAGAGGTTCTCCATTTTCTGGTTTACTTCCCAAGTAGCTACAACAGCCAGGAGGGAACCAGGCTGAAGCCTAGAGCCAGGAGGGTCTTCCAGGTCTCCTACGTGGTAGCGGACACCAACTGAGCCATCACCTTCTCAGGCCTTCCCTGGCTGTTAGCAGGGAGCAGGGTTGGAAGTGAAGCAGCCAGGACTTGAACCGGCAGCCAGGACAATAACTGGCACCAAGACGTGATGCCAACATTAGAGGCAGTGGCATTATGTGCAGTGCCACAATGCTGGCCTCATAACTCTCTCTTAGTACTATTTCTTACTGTAAGATGTATTAATGAATATTTATTGTTGAATTATAATCTCATAACTAAAAATTTTAATTGTAAAACATGGTTTGTATCTTGCTTTAAAATGGGGAGAATCTTTATATTGTATTTCAGGGCATGGGCTTGTAATGGTTATCTTATTCTAGTTTTTTTATTTCTTAATAAGGTCTGGGAAACAAAGAAGGTGTGTAAGAACTCAGCAATAGTGTTAAAACAAGAAATAGATGTTGTTTTTCAAGAAGACAAAGTGATGATCCTTGCAGTTGATGATGTAAGACGCTTACAAGTGAGTATTCTTTAAGAATAATTTGAAGATTTTGTTTTAGTTGAATTCATAATTCAGAATTTTCTTGTTTCTTTTTTGTGGAGTCGACCAGGCATGATATATGGACAAGTACCCAGCAGGCATTAGCTGAATAAATATATGGGTCTTGAGCTGAGGGTCAGATGCAGCAGTGTTTTTTTCTGTTTTGATTTTAAAAAGTTTTAATTGGTTACATTAATAGTATACAAAAGGGTGTGCAGCAGTATTTATAAATAAATTAGGCAGTAACTCTTTTTGGTATATAAGTATGTGAAGGAACTTCAAAAACTCTGTGGGAAAATAGAATTAAAAGGGTTAAAAAAAAAAGCTTTGTGTTTGAACTCTGCCCAGTTTAAGACACTTTGTAAGCGATAATGCAGCCGTTCCATCCATCTCTAAATAACTGAGTATGGCGAGTTTAAGCATGTCAGTGCAGTCTGGTTTACATTAAGAAAAGCAGGTGCCCTTTAAAGAGGAACGTGTGATCACGGGCCTCAGAGTCTAGCAAGACCATGAGGACAAGTTTGAACTTCCTTGTGATAGTGATTCAGGTATGTCTTTGTGGAATCAGCAGATGAAGTGTGCATACTTCTTTAAGACGTATTTTTTTCTTGCAGATTTATTTTTATTTATTTGAAAGACAGGGTAATAGAAAAAGAGAAGGAGAGGCAGGGAGAGATCAATCTTGCATTTCCTGACTCTCCAAATGGCTATAAAGCCTGGGGTTGGACCAGACTGAAGCAAGGACTCTGGAGCTCCATTTGGTTCTCCCACCTGGGTAGCAAGGTCCCACACCCCTTAAGACATCTGCCGTCACCTTTGCAGGTGTGTCGGTAGGGAGCTGAATCAGGATCAGAGCATGTGGGACTTGAGCCAAGGCTCTTTTTGGTTTGTTTTAAAACCTGAAAGATGTCTAGATAGGATTAAAAAGTCTATGTATTTTTATTTACTTGAAAGATGGAGTGATAGGATGGGGTAGGAATGGGTAGGTATCTTTATCTGCTGGTTCCCTCTCCAAATGCCTGCAGTAGCCAGGAACTCAGTCTGGGTCTTTGCATGACTTAGAGCCATCATCTCTGCCTGTGAAAGTGTGCATTAGCAGGAGGTGGGTTTGGAATCAGAGGCGGGGCTCAATCCCATCACTGCTGTTGGATGTGGGCATCCCAAGAATGGGTTAACGCACTGTGCTGCAACTTCTGCCCTGGTAGGATTTTTGAAAGAACGGGAATAACATTAGTAAAAAAGTATGACTTATCAGAGCTTAGATGGAAAGAACAAAAGTTTGCATACATACTGAGATGTACTTGTTCAGTTATTTACTTAAATATTTATTGAATACTTATTAGTCCTTGACAAGGAAATGGAAGAAGTACATTGCTTAGGAATCCAAGCAGCAGTATTCAGACTGCTCTCCTTCAGCCCCCTAACAGAGCAGGACACAGATGTGTTATCTTGACTGGTTGAAGAGAGAGTCCCAGAGATCTTTTGCTGGAGAAACGGTATTAAGGAGCTTTGAGCGGTGTAACAGACAGAACAGATGTCCTCCGGAGCACTGGTATTCCGTGTCAGGTTAGCACACTCGGGTGGTGACGTGAGAGCCATAGGGAAGCCCAAGGCAGTTGGCAGTAGAAATCCTGCAAGTGGTGGTGGCACTGTAGGCAGTGGGAGCAGATGAAATGTGTATCTTATGGAAAGTCAAACACAAGAAACTCTTGGTGTTGACCTGTCCGGGTGGGACAGCTGCGCAGTAGCCCACTGTGGGAGTTTTCAGCATGTGGAGCAGAGTCAGTGACTTGTGGCTGAGAGAGGTGATGAGAGCTGCCAGAGAGGCAAGGCCTACCTTTATGTGAACCAATGAGCCATTCTTTTCTGAGGATTATTTGAGAGACACAGGAAAAGGGGCAGGGAGGGGACAGAGACCTGTCACAGGAGAAGGCTAATGATACCATGAACTTTTCGCTGTGATGTATTGTTTCTTTTAGGTCCTTTCACTAGCTCTCGGAGCATAGGGTGCAATTTAAGTTATTTTTTTTCTAGGTAGGCTATAGAACTACCTTGTTAACTTTTAGGGAAAAGAGTTAAGCAGTGATAATGTGATCTCATGCCACCATTGCATTTGATTTTTCTTGATTTAATTGTCAGAAGTAGGAAGCAAGAATGTGTGTGCGAACGACTAACAGCGAAGTAGAGCTAGGGAGGAGAGATGGGAGCGAAGAGCGCGGACTTGAAGGCGTGAGAGCTAACGAGCTTGAGACACCCTGACACGCGGGCTGGAGTTTCTAACTTGAGCCCAGCGTGGTCTAGTGGAGAGAACAATGACTTCACTAAGAAGGCACAAGTTCAGATTTCATCAGCCAGTCCTCTAATGTTGAGTAAATTGCATCACTTCTCTGAGCCTCATTTTATTCAGCTGTAAAGACTTTTCAGCTTCAAAGGTCTATTTAGTCAACATAGAACTCAGGTTCAGCAGACAGATCCCCGGTTGTAAATTGTTTATGGCATGTCATAACTTGTCCTCATGTGCTGTGGGAATCAGAGTCAAGTTGTGAGAGGCCCCTAAATGTGGACTGTGCTGTCACCCTCAGTGTGTTGATTCGGGTTAGGATGTGCAATTGGGTGTGCATTCCTCACTAACTGGTTTTTAAAAGGCTGATTGTTCCACTTGGGGGTATTTTTCTCTGTGATTTTCTTGTCAAGTTCAGTGTACTCGTGCGTGTATTTGCCTTATTAATATCATGAAGCCTTTCTTTAGCAGTTGTCATAACTGTGAAACTTAGTAGCCATATTACTATAAAAGTGTTTCATGTCAGTGATTATGGCAGAGTTTAGAAGACAGTTGAATTGATGAATAGTTCCATTTTGCTGAACAATGCAATTGTTATTTCTCTAGTCATCTTTTTTTTTCCCTAATTTTTTAAAGATTTATTTTGTTTGGAAGGCAGAGGGAGAGAGGGAGAGACAGAGACAGAGAGTGTGCTGGTTCACTCGCCAGGTGGCTGCCATCCAGGTCTGCTGTGTGGGTACAGAGGCCCAAGGACTTTCCCAGGTGCCTTAGCAGGGAAGTGACAGTAGGCTAGTTGGGATTCCAAATGTCGCTCTGATATGGATGCAGCATTGCAGGCATCCAGGCTGCAACTTAACTTGCAGTTCAGTGCTGTCCCCCCTACCCCACCCCTGTTTTTTTTTTTTTTCAGCTCTTTAAAGAGCTCTTGAAGTTGATTCTTGGGGAGAAAGAACATGTTCAGTTTTAGGTTGTGACATTAAGAGGTTGAAAAATACCTTCCTCAGGTCATGTAATTTGGTTGAATGATAAGCATCTTTATTTGCAGTATTAAAAATAGCATTAACACATAATGAAATTGAGTAATCTTAGTTCAAGGATTACAAATGTAGCCACATGGACTAGTTGTATTTTCAGTGGGAGCTGTTGGGGCTAGTGGTTGAGATGTCAGTTAAGACCCTTTAGTTCCTGATTGGAGTGTCTGCTTTCAGGGTCCCTGGCACCTGACTGCAGCTTCCTGTTGAAGCAGACCGCAGTTAGCAGCCCTGGTGGCTGAAATGATTGGGAACCTAAGCCCCATGTGAGAGACCTGGATTGAATTCTGCTCTGGTTTTGACCTTGGTGTTGACCTAGTTCTGGTTATTGTGGCCATTTAGAGTGAACCAAAGGCTAAGATCTTTTTCTCACTCAAATAAATAAAATTTAAAAAAATTTTTTTCTTATGATTCTTTTCTAATATTCCCTTCCAATAGAAAATAATTTTAATTTATATTGTTTTGTTAGTAATTTGGAGGACTGAAAATCCATTTTTGTTTGGATTCATCTTTTTATGTAATGTCTACCTCGTTCCTGTTTCACCAACTCCCTTGAAAGACACCAGGAGAGTCTATTTTAATCAACGATAGCCCTATTAAAAATGAGCTTTGTGAGGAAGTGGAAATCGGGGTATGGTAGCTAGCTGTGGGATTGCAAATCAGACAGATGTGTCTCAGGTGGTGGGCACAGCAGCTGCTGTTTAGACCTTTAAAAGCTCGCTTGATGTTATGAAAATGTATTTGAACCACAGAGTGAAATGAAATGAAAGCCTGAAGTGCTAAATGCAGCTGCCGAGCCGGGAGAGGCTTTTGTGGCCCCCTGGGAGCTCTTGGTGGTTATTTCCTGTGGTTTATTTTATGTTTCTAGTCGAACCCTCTGTTCCAGAGGACAAAAGCTGCTTGTAAAGCCTAATAACTGATTGTACCTTGTTTTTCATTAGCTCATTAATGGAAGAACAGGTCAGATTGATTACCTGACTAAAGCTCACGTTAGCTGCTGCTGCTTGAGTCCGCATCTTCAGGATGTTGCGCTTGGACATGAAGATGGAACCATCAAGGTATCCAGAGCTGCTCTTCGGTCTTCGTGTGCAGTAGGATTACTGACTTGAATATTATTGCATGGTTCACATTGTGCACTTACTGGTCATTGTTTCATCAGACTAAAACACTTACCCAGCTGGTATTTTCAGATTGCCTTTGCTACGGTTTGCCGTGCTTTTTGTCATCGTGTGTGTGTGTGTGTGTGTGTGTTTTGTTCTCTACCTACTTGTTACCCTCTTCTCAGTGCATATCAAACAGTGTCTGTTAGAGATTCATGCAGAGTTTTTTAAGTTATTTCCATGTTGGTACGCACAGGGTTCATTGGGAATATCAGTGCTTGCCCACCAATCATTGCTGTTCTACTTTTGTCATTCAAAGTATATCTAATTTATTTATTTATTTTTTCCAGAAAAGGATTTTTTTTATTCAAGTAGCTGCAAATAGGAAAACAAACAGGGAGCCCCAGGCTGGGCCATAAAATGGCCACCCCTTCCCGACAGAACAGGGGAAGAAGGTGGCCCCTACACCCTTCAGGATTAATACGGGCCCCCCTCCCTCTGCTGCAGCACCCTAGGGGCAAGGCCCCACCTTCCCTGGGACTGGGTGTCAGTAACCCAGCCTGCTGCGCCCCAGCTCCCTGGTTCTGGGGGAGGGGATGTGGGCAGAACAGAGGGAGGCAATGAGGATGAGTGTTGGGTGCTGACAGCAGTGGTGATGGATGTCCAAGAACAATACATGGAACAAAAAACAACTGTCCAGAGGTAGTTTGTGAACAGAGGAGAGATGGAACCAGAACCTTGGGGGCTGGGGAGGAGCAGAAGATGGGAGTGGGCAGGGCTAGCTCCTTGTTGTTAGTGGCCCGTGTGAGGAGTGGGGAACAGGCCTACAGCAAAGTGGGACAGGGAAGGGGGCTGCCACAGAGAACATGGGCCTCACGTGGACCAGAGATGGCCCTTCTCCCAGAGTGAAGGCAGGGTGGGCTGGCAAGTTCTGCACCCGCCTGCCCTCCTCCACCCTGGAGGGCTACCCAACCTAGTGTGGGACCTGGGTAAGATGAAGGAAGAAAGAAAAATGCATGGGATCCCCACTTGGTGACAGAGCTCTTGGTGGGCTAGGCATCCTCCTCCACTGACCACACCTGCTACTGCTAGGGCAATGGAGTGGTGCATGTCAGAATGAGATGGGGCCAAGGCTCCTTAAGGCCAGGGGAGCCCTCCCAGGACCCTCTTCAGAAAGCCAGAAGGAAGAGTGGAGCGGAGAATGGGCCCATGGAGCAGTGTTCCCACTGGCAAGGGAGCGGGACACAGCAGGTGCAGGGTGCGGCTAAGTGGGAATTAGCCTTGTCCAGGAGGGCAAGTGTGTGTAATGGGAGGGGGTGCTGGGAGCAGAGGCCAGTAGGAAGCTGGACCAGAGTGCCTTACAGCGGTTGGGGTGCTGTGTAGTGTGCAGTGGCGAGGAGGGAGCAGGTGGAGGGTCCAGGGGCCTGGGAAGTAGGGTGGGGGCAGTGGGAGCTGAGCGAAGCTGTCCAGTCCCAGAGGAAAGCTGTTCCTTGGATGACGGAGCAGGCGGCACGGCGTGGTCACTGCTCCTCCTCAGAGGACTCCTGCGAGATGCCCTCCTCTTCCTCCTTCTCCAGTTTTTTGGGTCGGCCCCTTGGCTTCCTTCCTGGAGCTGTGGAGGTTTTCCGGGTCTTGGCAGCACCCTTGTTTTTGCTCCCCTTTGGTCGGCCCCGAGGTCTCTTGGGTGTTGGCACTTCACTAGGCTCCTTTGGAGGCCCAGCCTCGCTTTTCCATGCTGTCCTTTTCCTGCTTGGAGGCCAAGGGCTAGCTGGCCTTCGAGCTCGACTCGCTCATCTTCCCTTCTCTACAGGGCAGGCGGAGGAGTGATGGCTGGAATGGTCTTCTTGGAGCCGCGCCAGCGCCAGAAATAGCCCCGGCTCGGAGTCCCAATTAGAAGATATCTAATTTATTTAAAGATGTACTGATTTATTTAATTGAAAGGCAGAGTGACAGAGAGACCTTCCATCCACTGACTCACCTCCACCAAGTGACCTTAATAGTGTGGGCTGGGCTGGAAGAAAGTCAGGAGCCTGGGGCTTCCTCCAAGTCTCCCGCATGGATGCAGGGATCCAAACATTTGGGTCATCTTACACTTCTTTCCCAGGCTTAGTAGCAGTGAGATGGATCAGGAATGGAACATCCGAGACTTGAACTGGTTCAGGCATTGCAGATGGTGGCTCAATGCTCCATGCCACATCACCAGACCTAGAAGTATCTGAAACTCTTAACTAATCTAACAAGACTGAATAAGTAAAAATACAATCATGTGTAAGAAAAATAAAAGTTGGTCCCGGCTCAGTGGCTCAGTGACTAAATTTTCACCTTGCAAGTACTGGGATCCCATGTTGGTGCACCGATTCATGTCTTGGCTTCCCATCCAGCTCCCCGCATATGGCTGGGAAAGCAGTCGAGGGTGACCCAAAGCCTTGGGACACTGCACCCTCCAGATGGGAGACCTGGAGGATGCTCCTGGCTCCTGGCTCCAGATCAGCTCAGTTCCAGCTGTTGCAGCCACTTGGGAAGTGAATCAAATCTTTGTCTGTCTCTGCTCTGCATAGATGCAGTCGTCTTTTCAATAAAAATAAATATTTTTCAAAAGAAAAATAGGGCAGGCATAATAAAAAGCATTCTGGATAAAAATGCTGTTATTATGACAAAAATTATCAAAAACATGTTTTTCTAGCTATACACTAGGTTTTTTTTTCCGATATATTTATTTTTATTGGAAAGGCAGGTTTTACAGAGAGAGAGAGAGAGAAAAAGAAGTCTTCTATTCATTGGAGAGAAGTCTCCTATCCATTGGCTCATTCCCAAATGGTTACAAAGGCTGAAGCTGAGCTAATTGAATCCAGGAGCATCTTCTGGGTTTCCCATTTGGGTATAGGAACCCAAAGCTATGGGCCATACTTGGATGTTCTCATTAGCCATAGCAGGGACATGGCTTGGATGTGGAACAGCTGGGATACAAACCAGCAGCCATATGGAATTTTGTTCTGCAGGTGGAGGCTTAGCATTCTGTGCCACTGTGCTGACCCCTGTTGTGAAATATTTGTTAAGGTGAGCAAATAGATGTTTGTTAAGCAAGAGTTGATTGTAAATTTATAAGCAAACCTTAGTTTTTCATCTCAGTTTGTTTTCTCAAGCTGTTGTATGTTATTTGTTCTTAAAATGCCTTATTGCTGGGCCTGGTGTGGTAGCCTAGTGGCTAAAGTCCTCACCTTGCATACACCTGAATAAATAAATAAATAAATAAATCTTTTAAAAAAAGAAAATGCCTTACTGCCAACTTAGTACTACATTCTTTTTTTTTTTAAAGAATTTATTTATTTTTATTGGGAAGTCAGATATACAGAGAGGAGGAGAGATAGAGAGGAAGATCTTCCATCCGATGATTCACTCCTAAGCTGCCGCAACAGCTGGAGCTGAGCTAATCTGAAGCCAGGAGTCCGGAGCCTCTTCCAGGTCTCCCTCACAGGTGCAGGGTCCTATTGCTTTGGGTCGTCCTCAGCTACTTTTCCAGGTCACAAGCAAAGAGCTTGATGGGAAGTGGGGCAACCGGGACACGAATCAGCACCCATTTGGGATCCCAGATGTGCAGTACTACACTCTTTTTATTTTACTATTAAGAATCTTTTAAAAAGCCTAGTTTTCTTTAAGATGTTTTTTTACTTGAAAGGCAGAGTTATAGACATAGGGAGGGAGAGAATACTGATCTTCCACCCACTGTTGACTCTGCAAACGACCACAATAGCTGAGCCTCTCTGCGTCCAGGAGCCAAGAGCTTCCTGTCTCCAGCAGGAGTGCAGAGCCTCGGCACTTGGGCCATCTTCTGCAGACTTCCCAAAACATTAGCAGGAAACTGTATCAGCAAGGACTCGAACCGGTGTTCAAATGGGAAGCCAGTGCTGCAGGCGGCAGCCTTACCCAGCACGTCACAGTGTTGGCTTGGCTCCTGGTTTTTAGAAACAGCTTATAAGACATACATGTCTTCATCAACTCCTCACCTCTTCCGAGTTGCCAGATAATGTAAATACCATGTAATGGACCATGTGAAATCACTAATAGCTGACTGCTTTCATCTCAGAAATGGGCAGTTTCATATGAGTTAGCCAGGTGTCATCGAGGAAGGTGATAGTGGTGCCATCTGCGATATGCTTGTTGAGCCTAGGAATATCACTTACTTGATGAACTGAATAGTTGAATACTCAGAAAGGCTGTTGGCTCCAGCCGTCATGTAGTCAGTCTAGTGAGTGCTGTATTTTAGTGTGTATGTGTGTGTATAAGTTATTTGTGTGTATGCTTTTGGTTAAACAGGAAGCTCCAGGAATTGGAAACTCTATAACCTTGTGTGCTCTAGTTTAAAATTTACTGTATCTCTGAGTTATAATACCTAGGTGTTGCTGAATTTATTTGTATTAATTTTTTTTTTGACTTTGTGAAGATTCTAGAGCTTCCAAACAACAAAATCTTCCAATCCAGGACTGGGCACAAGAAAGCTGTACAGCACATCCGGTTCACAGCGGATGGGAAGACTGTCATTTCAAGTTCGGATTCTGCGATTCAGGTGAGGAGGACGACCTGCTGGTGTGCGCCATGCTGACTGCAGCGTGTTCGCTTACACTCAGTACGTGTGCAGGCTTGGATGACATTCACTTGTGTTCCATGTTCTTCTGGTAAGATAGGCTCTTGAATTTAAAAACCCTCGGTCGAAGGCTGTTTAGTTTGAAAATCAAGGACTCACTTGAATTTTGCTGTCTGCCTTAGTATTTACGTATTTGACAATAAATGAACTTTTGGTTATAATAACTTCTCTTTGTTTAAAGTAGAAAATCTGATTGAATTAATTTCATTTTTTTCTTTTTAGGGATAAATTGTTTATTAAAGCAGTGAAGTTCTGTGGAAAAGAGAATAGTTTGCCATGATGGAAGTTTGTGGATGTGGGAGCCTAAGCTTTATCATACATTCTTGTAAAGTTTACTTTAAAAACAATATGAGTTCTGCCGTACGTAGTTTTGCGATTCAAAGGCTTATTATACAAACTAGACTTTCTCCCAATTCCCAGTTCTCAGTAGCAACACTTTTAGCTTATAAATATTTTTTGGTGTTTACCTTCATGCCCTCATCGGGTGTGTCTAGAGTGCTTTCCTTGAGTTTCTCTTTTGGGGCATCTACTGACCCTCTGTAAGAGGAGAACTGCCTTTTCCCCTCGCTCCCATGCCATGCCTCCGACATACGGCTGTACCCGTGCACATTCTGAATCCCCGTCATCCCAGTACAGCTACATTTTGTTTTCATCCTTAGCATCATTGCCATGATGAAGTAGTCTGTGTGTACTGAGAGCTCTGTGATGCATTTATTGCTTAACGCAGTTGAAGAAAATTCAACTTTTGATTGAATGTAATTGAAAATCATTTTAGCCTAAAACTTGCAAGGTTTTAATTTTATTCTAAGTTCCAGAGTCTGTGGTGGGATGGTTAAAGTTATTCTGCTTCCTAATCTTTCTCTCTGGAAGCTTTTAGGATCTTGTCTTTGTGGGCAAAACTTTGAAAATTTCATGATGATGAACTTTGGTGTCTATTTTCATCCATTATTTTGGGTATTGAGTATTCTTAATTTAGAATGTTGTGTTTTTCAGTTCAGGAAGTTTACTGGAACTATTTATTTTATTTGTGTTATGTTATTTATTTATTTATTGGTCCAATCTGCATGTGCGAGTAAAAGATTTAACTCTTAGGTCATTGCTCTGGGCCCATTTTTACTGAGTTTTAAGCATATTTCTAACTTTAATGCTCAAGAGTTCATTTTATTGTTTATTTATTTTTTAAAGATTTATTTTATTTTTATTGGAAAGGCGGATATACAGAGAGGAAGATCTTCCATGAGCGTAACGGCCGATGCTATGCCAATCCGAAGCCTCTTCCAGGTCTCCCTCGTGGGTGCAGGGTCCCAAAGCTTTGGGTTGTTTTCGACTGCCCTCCCGGGCCACAGGCAGGGAGCTGGATGGGAAGTGGGGCCACCGGGACTAGAACTGGCACCCATATGGGATCCTGGGCATGCAAGGCGAGGACTTTAACCACTGCGCCATCGCGCTGGGCCCATTTTATTGTTTATTTTGCAAAGCGTTGTGGGACAGGAGCCAATATCACCTTGCACGCACTGGGATCTCATGTGGACACCAGTTCCTGTCCCGACTGCTCTACTTCCCATCCAGCTTCCTGCTGGTGGCCTGGGAATGCAGTCCAGGATGGCCCAAAACCTTGGGACCCTGTACTCAAATGGGAGACCTGGAAGAGACTTCTGGCTCCTGGCTTTAGATTGGCTCAGTTCTGCCCATGAGGCACTTGGGGAGTGAACCAGCGATTGGACAGAAAATCTTTCTCTCTGTCTCTGCCTCTCTCTGTAAATCTGTCTTTCCAATAAAAAAAGAAAGAAAGTAAGTCACTGTGTTCTTGTTTAGTGAGTGAGATAGCTTCTTTTTCTTCTCTGGGACAGTCAGAGGGTTTTTGACAAATCCATAGGAAATGGAATTAAAGGATTAGATGTATTTTCCATGAGTTTTTTTGAAGACTCCAATTTATTGTATATATAAATACATATGAAATGTATGTAAAATTTTATATATATATATGCACATTGTATGTTATAGATGAGTATATGTAGTTTTTATTATATATATATATTTAAAACTTTTCTAATTTTTTTTTGAAAGGCAGAGACAGTCAAAAAAGAGAGAAATAGCTATTTCATCACTGGTTTATTTCTCAAATTCCCAAAAGAGCTGAGGTTGGGTCAGGCCAAGGCCAGGGACAAGGAAGGTAATGCAGGTTTGCCGTGTGGGTGACAGGAACCCTGCTGAGCCCCCACCTGTTACTTCTCAAAGTGTGCATGAGCAGGAAGCTGCAGCTGGAGCAGGAGCTGACTGAGACCCCGACAGTCTGACCTGGGATGGGGGTGCTCCAAGCAGGGTCTCCAGCACTGCATCAGCTTTCTGCCCCAATATGTGTAATTTGTATATATGCATATGCATATATTTTATGTTATACACACAGATATGAGCTACATAGTTGTGTTCATTTTGTTTTAGTGCATTTTTTTGTTTCACCTGACAGTTATTTAAAAATCAGTGGTATAGAGAGAGGAGGAGGAGAAAACAAAGGGGAGGCAGAAGAGATCTGCTACCTGCTGGCACGCTGCCCAGATGGCCTCATGGCTGAGCCTGGGTCAGGCTGAAGCCAGGAGCTAGGACTTTTTTCCGGTCTCCCAGTTGTGTGGACGGAGCCCAACAGGGAGCTGAGTTGGAAGTGCAGTAGTGGGGACGCAAACTGGTGCCCATATGGGCTGCCAGCACTCAATGGCAGTGTTGGAGTCTGTGGCCTTACCCACTATGCCATGATGCTGCTCCTTCGCTTCTTATTTTATTTTATTTATTTTTAAAGATTTATTTATTTTTATTGGAAAGGCGGATATACAGAGAGGGGGAGAGACAGAGAGGAAGACCTTCCATCTGATGGTTCACTGCCCAAGTGGCCGCAACGGCCAAAGCTGAGCCAATCCAAAGTCAGGAGCCTGGAGCTCTTCCCTGTCTCCCACACAGGTGCAGGGTCCCAGTGCTTTGGGCCATCCTCAACTGCTTTCCCAGGCCACAAACAGGGTGCTGGATGGGAAATGGGGCCACTGGGATTAGAACCAGTGCCTATATGGGATCCCGGTGCATGCAAGGCAATAATTGCCGGAGTTGAGCTGATTGAAAGCCTGTCCCAGGCTGCAAGCAGGGAGCTGGATGGGAAGGGAAACAAGCAGGATGTGAACCAGCACCCCTGTGGGATTCTGATGCTGGCATGTGGAGGAAGAGCTAGTTGGGCCATCATGCCAGCCCCTAAACGCCTCCTTAGTGGTACAGTGATCATTGACTACCAGACATGGTTACCAAAACGTTAATGAAAAGCTCTGTGAGCTGCCGAGGCTGTCTCCAAGAGGGGGTCTGGTTGGGGCCCCTTGTTGTCTGTGTTGGCTTATTTGTCTTGGTGCGTTACATTAGAAAAATAGCCTGATAAGTTACCTAGAGAAGAACCTTCTTGTCCCTGTCTGAAGGATCAACCTGCCTGACAGATTCTCAAAGCCACGTGGGATGAGAGGACTGGGAGCAGAGGTTAGAGGGCAACACTTAGGATGCGCATCTTCACTTGATCTGCTGTGCCCAAAACTAACTGCTGTAAATTATGTTGATGCCCTTTAATCTAGAAATTCTGCTTGCTCTTGCGTTTATTGTTTATATTATTATATACTTCATTCTTTTTTCTTATTGTAACTTGGTGATTTTGCAATGGTTCCTTCCTCTTTCTTTCCTCCCTCTCTCCCTTTCTGCTCCTTCCTACATGAAATCAGACTTCCTGAGCATTTGGCAGGAATACGGATGCCCATCATTCTGGTTTCCTGACTCTACAGCTCTTTTTCTTCTTGTTTTTATAAAGCATTAAAAATACCATCTTTGCACCATTGTTTATCAGGTCTTTGTCGTCACCACTGCTATTGTATGTATTTAGATTCTCTTCCTCGTGATCTTTTCCCATTGTACAAGAAGCTGTCCTAGTGAATTCTGAGAGTTTACAGGTCTCAGCCTGTTGTAACCTTTGTGAAATGTGCAGTGTTCTGCTGGCGCTCATGATGACTGCTCCTTGTGCAGTGCCCTGCACTGGCCTGGGAATGCTGCTGGGCCGCTCGGGGATTTTCTGCCTCCGAACAGACACATGCTGTTACCAGTTCTCAGACTGTCTCGGGGTTTGTGGCCCCTTAACATGACCTTATTGTTGGACATGTGCTCCTCATTTTACTTTACTATCCTAGTTGCTTTGTTTGGTTTTAATGAAGGGCTTTACGGAGGTTGAGAAATGGTGCCTTGCTGCGGCTGTTTCCCTAGAATTCCTTGTACTTCTGTTCATTGGTCCTCTTCATTCCCATTTTAGACTAGTTTTAATGTCTCTAATTTGTGAGTATTTGAGGGGGAGGGTTCCTTGCTCTCAATTTTGTAGTTTGGCTTTCTTTAATGCTTATAGGTTGTGTTTTCTTGATTCTGCTGGGTAAATAGCATTTTGCTGTTGTCTCCTCTGCCATCCTCTTGACCTTGCAATTTCAATAGTTTCAGAAGAGAAGATAAATGCATATGTTCAGAAGTTGGAATATTCTTTTATTTAGTGTATGTGCTTCTGATGGCAGTGATTGTGCTATTATACACTTTTAGAAAAAAAGGTCTCTTTTTGATCTTTTTGTGGGTTCCATGTGGGTCTGTGTTCTGAATAAAATTTGGCTTCGGTGCAGAATTTATTTATGGGCTTTCATGATAATCCTTCATTAACTGTGAGACAGTGTAACAGTTTGTTCAGATATCATTGAAATGATTGAGACTACTCCATATCTAATGAAACTCTTTTGATATCTTATATACTGTATAATCTTCTGTCACAAATTCAATTCATAAGGTTTTATGACCTGCCTGATGATTTCAAATGTTCTCAGTCAGAGAGAGATAATTTCTTGAAATAACTTTAGAATAAGAATTACATTGCT